TACATTTGGCATACAAGTCTGTTTCCCAACAAACTGATCCATTGATAAGAAAAATAGACCACTATTGGGGCAGCTGGGCACTGCAGAGGCTGTTTCCACCCTAAGATCATTGACGTTATTTCCAAAACCATCCTTCTGGACCAGTCTTTTGCACCCCTCATTAATGCACAGATGGGCCGCACTGGACACTAATTACTTACTTTGAAACCACCATAGGTTATGTCCTTTCCACTGAATTTTAAGCTCCCCCAGGAGCTGTGTACAACATCTAGGTACATCTTACTATTGCTCACAGCAATTACCACAGCTCAATAAATTTATAATCATGACGTTATTAACGGTAATTTTTTAATGAGATGGTCAGAATTAAAATTATCTTTTAGAGTTAAAAAAGGGAAAGGAGAGTTCAGGCTGCAACACTTACGTTTGAGACCTGATAATGGTGGCTGAAGTTGATAAGGGTTTTGTTTTCCGTTGGTCGTTAGGCTTGCTCAAACTAAGTTTACAACATAATATTTGCACATTTCTTGAGTATTGGACAAAAACCTTACCAGGGTGGTTGTGGCTCAGACATTCTGGAAAGCAAGTTATTTTGGAGAGATCATGAAGAATTGAAGACCCATTTTCTTTTTTTAATATATTTTATTGACTTTTTACAGAGAGGAAGGGAGAGGGATAGAAACATCCATTAGAGAGGAATATCGATCAGCTGCCTCCTGCACACCCCCTACTGGGGATGTGCCTGCAACCAAGGTACATGCCCTTGACCAGAATCAAACATGGGACCCTTCAGTCCACAGGCCGATGCTCTATCCACTTGTTGGGGTCCAGCCACAGCAGGTCCAGGGGTCCCCAAAGGTGTGGACGGAGTTGGCGAAGAATGAAGGACACGGAGACAGCGTTCAGTTGATCAGCATTGCAAGGTTCTTTTTTTATTCTCCTATTACATCTGTATTTATACCAGTTGATTTTAATCCTATCCACTCTATTCCAAAGGTTGGGGCGTTTCTTATCTCCATTCCAAGGTTACTCTATTGTTCTATTAAGCTACAGGAAGTAACTGAAGGAGATTATCCTAAGTAAAGATTACGTAGCTTAAGCATGATTGTTCGTAGTTAAAGTGATTAACTACCCTCCAGGCACTTAGTTAAGGGGTTTTACAGATTTATTCCCTTCCCTAGTCCTGTTAATCCCTAACTCCAGGGAAAAAAATCCCCACCTGGGGCAACAACCTGTTTAAAACACATAGCTAGGAGGGGGAGCAAACATATGCCATATACACCAGGTCCCTTGAAACATAAGCTGTGCAGATGTTTCTTCCCTGCAGTGACTGTGTCAAGCAGCAAGGATGGACTGGCAAATTCCCCCTTTTTTATTTTTTAAATGATAGCGCATGTGAATCAGCGGTCACCTCTCTGATTGGGTTAAGACTCGGAAGACCTGTTTGTGACTTTGCCAACAGGTCAGTCCGAGGCTTAACCCTGTATTGGCTCCCCACATCCACTGAGCCAAACCGGTTAGGGCTGAAGACCCATTTTCAACATTGTGTGTGTGTGTGCGTGTGCGTGTGCGTGTGTGTGTGTGTGTGTGTGTGTGTAAATATATCCTCTCAAAGGTCTGCCTAAGATCATAAAGGTTATCCTTTCCATTCTTCACGGAACAGTGTCCAGAGCCACAACATTTTAAAGAGGGAAAAAGAAATAAAGCATGATGACCATTAGCTTAGACTTCAGGGACAAACACCTGAATTTGTGTCTTTAATAGGTCATTTCTAGTAAAACACTCCAGTGACGTTATTTAATATCTTTGAACATTGGTTTCTTTAACTCTAAAACTAGAGGTCTGGTGCATGAAAATTCATGCACTGAAGGGGGGTCCCTCAGCCTGGCCTGCCCCCTCTCACAGTCCAGGAGCCCTCAGGGGCGGGAGGCGACCCGGTGATCAGGGGAAGGTGACACCCCATCACACCTCTGCTGCTGCTGCCACTGCTGGCAGCACAAGCCTCAGCTGGCCCTGGTTACCTGAGGCTCGGGCAGCCCTAGGCGGCTGGGCAGTCGCCATCCGAGGCCTGCCTGCATCATGGGCCAGCCCTGGGTGGCTGAGGGCTGAGGGGACTGGGGGACTCGGGAAGCAGGCATGCAGTATGGCCCTGGTGGGGCTGAGGGGACTGGGCACCACCATCTTGTGGCTGTGGGTGCCATCTTTTGAGGGTGTGACAATTAGCATATTCCCTCCTTATTGGCTGTGGGCGCTGCCACCTTTGAGGGCATGGCAGTCAATTAGAATATTCCCTCCTTATTGGCTGTGGGCACTGCCATCTTTGCAAAGGTATGAGGGTCAATTAGCATATTCCCTCTTTATTAGATAGGATAGTAGCACTGGCCAGTGCGGCTCAGTTGGTTGGAGCATCCTCCCAAGCATCAAAGGGTCATGGTTTCTATTTGGGTCAGGGCACATACCCAGGTTACCATTCGATCCCCATGCGGGAGGCAACCAATCAATGTTTCTCATATCACTGTTTCTCTTTCCCTCTCCTTTCCCCTCTCTCTCTAAAATATCAAATTAAAAAATAAAATGGAATAAAGAATCTATTGCTTTGGGATTCTCTTAAGATTGTGAGATAATTCATGTGAAACATTTAAGATGTTGCCTGCCCATTCCAAGAACTATTCTATTACTTTACTTCTGAGAAGTGACTTCTCTAAAGCAGAAATCAAGCCTGAAGAATTTAATAGGTTTTTTTAAAAATGCCAATTTTTCCCATTAATTATTCAGGAATATATATATATATATATATATTTTTTTTTTTCATGAAGATGTGGAGCAACAGGAACTCTCACAAACTGGTTATGTGTAAATTGGGAGACCACTTTGGGAAAAAAAAGTATCTAGTAAAGTGGAAACTTAAAATACTGTATGACAAGTCAACTCCGTGATATATATGCTAAAGAATACCCATGTACACCAGAAAAGTATCCTTTTGTTCCTAATAGCCAAAAACAGGAAATAACCCAAATGTCCATCAATAATAGGATGGGTAAATTATAGTATATTCATTCAGAGGAATACCAGCTACCTAGCATATGGATGATTCTCCAGCATAATGTTGAGAGAAAAAAGCAAAACACAAAATATGAAATATAATTACACATACAAAGTGCAAACACAAGCAAAATTAAAGTATATCACTTACGGATGCATACATAGAGGTAAATCTATAAAGAGAAAGCAAGGAAATGATGTTCAAGAAGTCAAATTGGTAATTATAAAAATGAGAAGGGGAGGACTTTATTGAGAATAGGACACATGGAGGAGGAGGCTTCCGAGTTACTTTTCTGTATATAATACTTCCCAAGAAAAGATGAACTTAGTATATAAACATAACTTTATTAAGCTTTATTATAAAACACCAACAGTAAAAACTGTTAATATCCATGGTAACTACACATACCTAAATTTATGCACATTTTCAAAATCTAACTTGGCATTTACCATCTTATATTATGCTCTGATCTGCTGGGGGGAAAAAGTGAGGAGACGTGAAGGCTTTAATAGTTATTTCCAGATGAAAGGCAACCTCCAAAATAGGATTCACCAGCATTAATATGTGGAAGAAAAAAATGATTCTTATTGCAAGTAATTTATTAAATTCTGGCAAAATAAAAACTGGTTGAATCTTAAGAGAAAAAAAATACACTATACAGATCATGTATTATAGAATTGTATACCTGAAACCTGTAATCTTATTCACCAATGTCACCCCAATAAATTCAATTTAAAAAATTTTAAAAAATTTGTTTAAAGAAAAAATGCTTAACTCCTTACCATACCTTATTTTACTTTATTATACCAGTAAGTCCTTCTCATTCAGAGTTACAATTCCCCAGCCCTCACTGCACCTTCAGGTCAGGTTTGGTCTGGTCCCACTTGCTATTCCATCCCTACCTTCCACATTGGCAAAGACACATGAAGAAATCCTGGGTATCTTTACATCTGTCACCATATACTAGTTGGAAACCATTCTGGTCTGAGAGACAAAATGGACCTGACAGGAAACACTATTACCTCAGATTAATTTTTCTGTATCTAAGTTTCTCATCAACAAAATCATTCCTCTATGCTTCTCAGACAAGTTAGTAAGAAAACAGCAAATTTAAACACAGGTAGCAATTATAAACCTCTAAAATAACTGATGGATGCTTCTCAAATATTTGCTATTTCCTCTGCTTTAAAACAGTGCACTTACTCTCTTTGGTCAAATGTAAGAGTGATATGTGTAACACGATATGAAAACAGGCACTACAAAAACCCCCTGTCTAATCCTGCCTCTTGCCCAAATCAACCCAGCCTAACTAAGGCAGCTTCCCAACAGCCTACTCAGGGCTGAATCACTGCTGAAGAGCAGGCACTAAGAACAGACACAAGAGCTGACTTCCCTACAATGTAGATGAAGAGGACAGACTTGCTCAGTCACATGCAAATAAGTGAACAAACCAGGATTAGAACCCAAAACAACTGGCCAATTTTTAATTGTAAAGTCAATAGTAATTTGTATTAAATACAATGTTCGTAACACATTTACATGGCTTTTTCTAGGTTTTAAATGATTTTCAGTTTAGCATATAAAGAAATTTTCCATTTGTCATTGTAAAGATTAGGTCAAATGTAATATACCAGTATTTTTATATTACATTTCCATTTGGAAGACTCTATGTTAAATTCTCCCCACAACAGGTGGGGGCCATAGAGAGGAGGCTGGACAGATTGCTTAGAAACAGTAGCAGCCACAAATTAATGAGTACTTGGGGTATGCCATGCATTAAGATAAATTCTTGACATTTCACTTATTCTCAGAAGCTCATAGGGTAAATTGCACTAAATTCCCCAAACAGAAATTTACGATTAGAAAAGGACATTATAAACAAGGTCACATGCCTAGAAGTGTCACATCTGAAAAAAGAATCCAGACATCAGACACATGAAAGAACCAACATCATACATCAAATTGACTTGTGTATTTATTGCACAAATTTCCCCTAGAACTGGGAGGTTATTATAATACAGGTGTACATTTGAGAAATGTATACAGAACAAGAAACAGTATGTACATTTACCCCACCATCTAAATAACTTAAAGAAAGCAGAAGGATCACATAAGACATCTACCAGAAATAGACATTGTGTAAAATCCATTTTTTTTTAAGTGATCATCCCCAGTGTATGCCAATTGCAACAAAATTAAATCGGTGCTGGTATGTTTATTGCACTTAACAATTTCAAGCTCAAAATTAAGACATATTAATAAAAGCCAGTAATATTTAAAATCAAACCAATTAGTTTATATGAAAGGAAAAATTACTTTAAATCTATAATGTAAAAGATCCCTTTTTCATTTCTATTGCAACAAACAGGTTTTTAAAAATATGTAACACATATCTGTCTGTACCATAAGAAGTTGAAAAATATTTTGAACAGTCCAAAACTTTTTTCACATTCATTATAATGACCACACTTTAAAAGCAGCAGCAGCTTACTCCATGGTCTTGGTGTAAGGAAAAAATAACTATGATGAAGGTAATAGAAATTACAGAAGGGCTGGGAATTATAAAGCTCAGGAATCCTATAAGGATTAGTAAGAAGAAACTATGGGCCTTTTCCTTCCGAGCAAAGCTTTGTTTTAAGAGTAACAGTAGCATGAGACATCCACTTATTGAAGACTAAATTTTCTAAATGATAATTTATTAGATTTCAAATAGATAGGACTGTGAATAGCTTGATGATTAATTAAAAAAACATGCAAAACAGATATTATCTATCTGTTATATATCATTCTAAACTACAAAAAATAATGAACAATGACCCACATATGAAATTTTCTGTATTCTGACTTCTGCCAAAGAGATTGATTCATAAAATTCCAAACAATAAAATAGTGAAGAATTTCATTAATGAATGGACTAAGAATATTAAGCAAATGAAAATATATCCATAAACATTCTTTGGCAGCAAGTCATCCATGGGAGACCCCAGCACTAACTGGGGCCAGCTGATAGGACACAGAGGCCAAACTGATTGCAGGCACACCAATTTCAGATTTACATTCCATTAAAACAATAATTTCTTCTTAAATCTAGGTTGGAGAGTTCTTGCATACAGAGAGAGCAAGGCAAAATGTGACCCACCACTATACATTAAAAGTCAAAGCTTAAACCACAAAAATCTTAATTACTGAAAATTGAAACAGCAAGAATGAATGTATTATATAGGAAATGTATGTATTAATAGGATAAGCAATTAGTTTCTTTTTTAAAGCTAATCAATTATAATAAAAATAGTCCATGAAAGCAGAAATCAACTTCACTTCTAGAATTAAAGTATCTTAGACCAGGTAATTAAAGAATAAACTATAATGTAGTATTCAAGTAAACTGAGGTAGTAGAGCATACTGAAAACTTTACTTACCCATATTTTTATTTACATTATTTACAAGAGTTTGGTTCCATATTAGCCTTTCTCAGAAGCAACACTCTACACTATATACAGAATAACAATAACTGAAAAGTGAAAATCCCTGGGGGAAAAAATAGCTTTTGGAAGAAGGGAAATTCAAGAAAAGAGAATAATTTTAAGGATTAATGAGTTCTATTTAGTGTAAATAGAATATTATGAAGCAGTGAAACAAAGAAAATATTTCCTGTGGGTTCAAGGACGGCTAATGCCAAAAGCAAGAGCTTCGGCTACCTGAGTACTTTTGAAGAAAATATTATTTTTGCCAATACTTTGGTGCAATTTTTAATCCTAATTTTAATTTATTAAATTAGGTACAAATATGTTAATATTAACATTTATAAGAATTAGCTTATACTTACAAACAAAACAAATAATATAAAGTACTATTATTTGGGGAATTTACATTCCTCAGCCTTAAAAAAGCGATTGGTTTTACTTATATTTTAGGGTGTGTGAAACAGGAAAACCACCACAAAGGAACATTTCAACATTATATACAATGAATAGTAGTTGGAAAGTGTATATATATATATATATATAATATTTAAAAAGTATGTTTACCAATCTTGTATTTCTACTGCTTTTTTAAAAAAACTACATACATATGTACACTTGGGTGGGTAACATAACACAGATTGACACTCATTCTTCTAAGTTTCTTATAATTAACAGGTTACTTAAAATACTTTGAAAAATACCCCCAAATTAGCTATTTTGAATTGACAGTATAAGAAATAATCAAGGTTTTGTAAACCTATGTACCTTAGAAATAAAGAATTAAAACTAATGAAATGACTATTTGTGAGCCATTTAATCATAAGACATCTGTTGCTATTTATGAGTTGTGGAAACACTGTAGTGATCATATAAAAATCCTCAATGTCATTCATTTTATAGAATTTTCTAAGTTATACTTTGGCTTTTTCAAATGCTTTCCCCCAAATTACATATGCTGTTTTAGTTCCACTTGGTTAAAAAATCTACCTCCACCCAAAAAGTCCAGTCAAAAAGAAAAAGCCATCCATCCAAGAACACACAATATGCACTGCAATGCATGATACACAGGTGACTGACTCATTCAGATCAGAATCTAATGGGGGAAAAATGCCATAAAGCATTTTGTGTCTGCTTCCTTGTTATCTATTTAACGTTCCAAACAATCTTTATGTTAAAGGAGTATCTGAGCAACATATGGAGAGTGAGTGCTTGCTACAGCAGCCAGAAGAGGAAGATCACTGGATTCAATCCTGAAATTAAGAGAAAAAAAAATCTCAGACAGGCTTTCTGTACCCAAGTCACTATACCTCAGCAATAAAGGACCCAGGCCACCCTGACCAAAAGAAAAAGGTAAGAGAGCTGAAGATAACAACAGTTGGAAATATTTCAGTCAGTAAAACCCAGAATCAAAATTTTTTTTAAAAAAAACCGAACATCTACCCAGCTGATGTGGCTGAGTGGTTGAGCATCAACCCATGAACCAGAAGTCACAGTTCGATTCCCAGTCAGGGCATATGCCCGGGTTGCAGGCTCAATCCCCAGTAGGGGGCGTGCAGGAGGCAGTCCATGGATGATTCTCTCTCATCGATATTTCTATTTCTCCCTCTCCCTTCCTCTCTCGGAAATCAATAAACACATAATAAAAATATTTTATTAAAAAAAGGATCTGAAACCCAATGGTGAAGTCATGGGTGTAGGAATGCATCTCACTGACGTGCTGATGGACCATGCATCACAGCAAGAAATCTAAGAAATACAATATTCTATATAATAAAAGCCTAATATGCAAATCAACCAAATGGTGGAACGATTGGTTACTATGATGTGCACTGACCACCAGGAGGCAGATGCTCAACACAGGAGCTGCTCCCAGCCCGCAGGCCCCAGGCCAGCCAATGCGGGTGCCAGTGGGGGTCCCCCGATTGCCCTGCAGGTCGCCCTGCAGAGGGAGGTGACCGGCAGCAGCAGGGGGTAGGGCCAGCTGGCGAGTTGGCCGGTGCCTCCCCCTGATCACCCCACCAGTCGCCTCCCACAGAGGGAGGCAACCAGCGGCGGTGGCAGGAACAGGGTTAGCGCACGGTGGGTGACAGCAGAGGTCCCCAATCGCCCCGCCAGTTGCCTCACAGATCAGCCCTGATTGCCGGCCAGGCCTAGGGACCTTACCCATGCACCAATTTTGTGCATCGGGCCTCTAGTAGTATATTAGGATAATAGTGTGCAACCACATTGTTTTGAACACAAATGTTTCTATAAAATATAGAAGAAATAATGGAAGCATCTTAAAAATAAATCTTACCACAAATAATTTACAGGAAAAGAAAAATGGCCAATAAACACAGAAACATCACTCATGTAGACTGATTCATGTTAGAGATTAAATAAATATACATACGTAAACTGTAATCAGATTTCATTTCTTAGCAAGTAGCCTGACAAAGATTAAAAAGTTGGTAACAGCCAATAGCAAGAAGTGTGTGCTTCCTGCTATTTGTGATAAATTATTCTGGTACTTACTGGGTAACATTTACTATTACGTATCAAAATAACTATCAATATCTATCAAAAATTTAATACACATGCCCTTTAACCAAAAATTCTTTAAATAATTCATCCTATAATCTTCAAAGGTTTTTCTCATTCTAGCATTGATTTGTAGTAGCAAAAGAAAATACATCAGGCCCTCAAATAATGTTCTTCCATTAAACAACAACATTTCATTATAACTATAACTACAGGCCCAGTGCATGAAATTCGTGCACTGGTAGGGTCCCCAGTGGAATTTGTGCATTGGTAGGGTCCCCAGCAGCTGCTGGCTGGGTACTCCCTCCCTTCCCCCAGCCAGCCTTGCCCACCCCTCCCCCCACCCCCCAAACTCCTGGACAAACTCCCGGTCGAGGGGACAATTTGCATACTACGCTTTTATTATGTAGGATGAGATGCCACTGAAACTTAATTCTTGTTTATATTAATTAGTACATGGTAAAACTGGTTTCATTATGTCATTTCACTTAAAGCTGCAGAACCTCCTAAAGATGTTAAGTGAGAACTCACTGTTTATATAAATCCCACCATATAATGAAATGCTATACAGCTATTAAAAATAATGAGATTGATCAGTATGTGCTTATATGAACAAATGTTCAGGATTTATTAAAAGGCAAGTTGCCCGATGATATAATAGACTAGAAATTAATTTCTATTTTTTATTGTATAAAAAATTTCTGTCAGAAGAAACAATCCATTAACTGTGTTTGGGTGAAGCTGGCAAGTTGGGGAAAAGACAATGAGGAATTACTTTTCATTTTATGCCATAACACACTATAAATTTTGGTTAAATGCACATTACTTTAAAAACTACCTTTTTTTTTAAATAAAGGCATTATGCACAGAGAATCATCTATTTCCAATCTGGATGGTAAGGAGTAACATTAGTGAAAGAATTTAATTTGGTTTCTAACAAACATTAGCTTCTTGTTGATGTTGGCTCTTTCTTCCTTCATAAAAACTGAATTAGACAAAAGTTCTGGCTTGTTTTAATTTCCTCAACTAACCTTTCAAAAATAACACACACACACAAAATGGCCATGGAACATAAGGAAAAAGATCACGGAACATAATGAAAAGGGCTATACTATTCCTCCCAACAATTTATCTGTTCTTCCTTCAGTTAGCACTTTAGATAACTTCTTCCCAAGAATAACTATAGAGTAGACAGACATATAGATAATGGGGAAAGAGTAGTAATGTGTAATAATGTACTATCATCCAGTGTGCTGCTATTTTAATCAGCTCATTTGGATGGTGGAGAGGAGGCTGGGAAGGAGTTTTGAACATATATGTAAATAAAAATAAATATTACTTATTTTTCCAAGACAGAAAATTAGATTTAATTCATTTTTATCTCACTATATTCTCAATTTACTGTAATGGCACAGGGGACATGCACTTTAGATCAGTGGAAAACAGGAATATGCTCTTATGTGGTACAGAGCAACCTGAATGATAATAGTGTCCAGCTTCTAACAGGAAAAGACACTTTCAAGAAGGCAATTCTAAGGAATAGCTCTTGCTTAAAGAATGCACAATGTGAAAGCCAGAAAAGAAACCATGAACATACCCTAGAACCACTCCCAGCTCCTTGACATGAACACGCATCTGGCCCCTCAGGTATTCAGACAGCATTTTGCTTTTGAAGTACAGCTCTTGTAACCGGTCTTCAAGATGCATTACACACTGCAGTTAGGAGAAACCAAGAACCAGGTCAGAAAATGGTGTCCAATTCTAAATGATGGCAATTTTGAAAGCATCATATTTTTGACAATTCTATTTAGTTATTCCAACATAAACTACAATTTGGAGCACATTTTTTAAAAAACTGAATTTATTGGGGTGACAACAGTTTGCAAAGCATGCAAGTTTCACGTGTACAACTCAATAAGACATCATCTGCACACTGCATTGTGCACCCATCGCCCCAAGCAAAGTCTCTTTCCATCCCCATTTCCACCCCCCTTTGCCCATCTCTCCCCCACCCTGACCCCATCTCCCTTTCCCTTTGGCTATCACCACACTGTTGTCTATATGTTACATATATGTTTTTTGGCTAATATCTTCACCTTATTTCATCCAGTCCCTCCTCCCCACTTCCCTGTGACAGCTGTTAGTTTGGGCCATGTATCCCTGCCTGTTTTCTGTATTTTTTGTCAGCTTATTTTTTTTCATCATATTCCACATATAAGTGAGATCATATGGTATTTGTCTTTCCCACAAGGGATCCAATTTCTCCACATCCTGGCCAATACTTTATTGATGTTATAAATATCCTTATGGGTGTGAAGTGGTATGTCATTGTGGTTTTATTTGCATTTTCCTAATGAGTAATAATGTTGAACATCTTTTTATGTGCCTGTTGGCCATTTGTGTATCTTCTTTACAGAAATATCTATTCGTTGTGTCTTTGTTATTATTGAGTTGTTAAAGCTTCCTACATATTCTGGATATCTCTCTTCAGATATGATGTGCAAATATTTTCTTCCATTCTGTGGGTTATCTTTTTACTGTTTATAGTGTCCTTTGATACAAAACAAGTTTTTAATTTGATGAAGTCCAATTTATCTATTTTTTACTTTTGTTGCCTATGCTTTTGGAGTCAAATCCAAGAAACCACTGCTGAATCCAATGTCACAGATTATCCCCTATGTTTTTCTTCAGAGTTGTATAGTTTTAGCACTTATATTTAGGTTTGTTCAATTTTAGATGTAAGTTTGAGTTTATTTTTATATAAGGTATAGGTAAGGATTCAACATCATTCTTTTGCATGTGGACAGCCTGTTTTCTCAGTATGAGTTCTTGAAAAGGCTCCCCAGTCATAAACCAGTTCATCATATATGTGAGGGTTTATTTTGGGGCCATTATATTCTATTGGTCTGTATGTCTGTCCTTATGCTAGTACCATACTGTTTTGATTACTGTTACTTTGTAGTAAGTTTTAACACATTGTATGCGGGAAACGTATTTATACATTTTACTTATACGTTTTACGCTGACCAGTAGTAGAGCGCGGGACACGTATTAATATGTTTTTTATAGACTAGCTGTAGAATGCAGGTAACGTATAAATATGTAAACTAAAGTTATCGTAATTTTACTGAATGTTGCCATTTGCGCAAAAAATTAGCAAAAATGGCCCGCGCCACCTGTTAGCGCACGATAAAAACTACCCGCAAACAATGTGTTAAAATCAAGAGGTGTGAGTTTTCCTACTTTGTTCTTTTTTAAGATTGTTTTGGTTTGTTCAGAGTCCCTTGAGATGCCATACACATTTTAGGTTGGGTTTATTTCTGAAGAAAAAAAAAAAAAAGTCATTGGAATTTTTGATAGGAATTGCATTGAAACAATAGATCACTTTTGGGGGGTGTAATCATTTTCATAATAGCAAGTCTTCCAATCCTTAAAATATGGAAGATATCTTTCCATTTATTTATGTCTTTAATTTCTTTCAGCAACATTTTGTAGTTCCCAGTGTACAAGTCTCTTGCCTCCTTAAATTCATGTCTAAGAATTTTATTCTTTTGATGATATCGTAAATGCTTTCTTCATTTCCTTTTCAGATTGTTCATTGCTAGTTTAATGAAATGCAACTATCTTTGCATGCTGATTTTATATCTTCAAACTTTGCTGAATTCATTTATCAGGTCTATTAGTTTTTTTGTGGAATCTATATTTTCTAAATATAAGGTCATGTCATCTGCAAACAGAGATCCTTTTACTTCTTCCTTTCCAATTTGGATGCCTCTTGTTTCTTTTTCTTTCCTAAATGCTCTGATTAGGACTTACTAAGTTGAATAGAAGTGGTGAAAGTGGGCATCTATGTCTTGTCCCTCATTTTAGGAGTAAATCCTCAGTCTTTCACCATTGAACATAACATTAGTTGTGGGTTTGTCATATATGGTCTTTATCATGTTGATCTAGAGTGGTTTTTAACTATGCTATCTTATAGTTTTCCTAAGAAGAAAAAAAATCTTGAAAGTTGGAAATGGTGTCATCCATAAGAGGTTACCGGTATTATGAAGAGGAATCATCAAAGCCCTGGCATGACAATGAGGGTCCAGAATGCACTGCATTCTGCACAGAGCTTAGGGACATTGCATGTCCATACATTACATGATACTAATCAGGTACTAAATTATGGCTGCTGAAATCATAGAATCCTATATAATAAAAGGGCAATATGCAAATTGACCCTAACAGCAGAACGACTGGGAATGACTGATAACTATGACACACGCTGACCACCAGGAGGCAGATGCTCAATACAGGAATTGCCCTCTGGTATCATGGTGCTCCCACAGGGGGAGCTCTGCTCAGCCACAAGCCAGGCTGATGGCTGCCAGCACAGCCGTGGTGGCGGGAGCCTCTCCCATCTCCTCAGCAGCGCTAAGGATGTCCGACTGCAGCTTAGGCCTGCTCCCTGCTGGCAAGTGGACATCCCCCAAGGGCTCCTGGGCTGCCAGAGGGATGTCTGATTGCCAGCTTAGGCCCAATCCCCCCCGAGAAGCAGGCCTAAGCCAGCAGGTGGACATCCCCCGAGGGGTCCCAGACTGCGAGAGGGCACAGGCTGAGCTGAGGCACTCCCCCAAGTGCACAAATTTTTGTGCACCGGGCCTCTAGTATACTATAAGACATGTACGCATCCCCTTCTTTTTCTAGTCAGCTTGGGCTGCCATAACAAAATAACATATACTCAGTGCTTTAAACAGAAAATTATTTTCTCACAGCTATGGAGCCTGCAAGTCTGAGATCAGGGTGCCAGTATGGTCGGGTTCTAGTGAGAACTCTTTTTCTGACTGGCAGACAACTCTTTGTCCCTGTGTCCTCACATGGTAGAGAGAATGCAATTTCTCTTTCCCTCTTCTTATAAGGACACTAATCCTATCATGAGGGCCCCATCCTCGTTACCTAATTAACTAACTCTAACTCCAAAAGGCCCATCTTCAAATACCATCATCGCATTAGAGGTTAGGGATCCAACACATGGGACTTTAGAGGAACAACAAAAACACCTTCTTTCAGAAAAACAATGATGAAGCTAACAGTAATGGTTCAATGTAGGCACATACTAAATAGTTTAGTCACCTATTACAGTGCTCAAATTCAAGCCTCAGACACACTTACAAAATTTGGAGACAAGTTATGTTTATAAAGCTGAAGAGTGGAATGAAGCAGATTGGAAACAAGACTGGAAACCAGTACTTCCTTTCCCAGTTTATTATCTGTCACTCGTCTCTGGCTACTGGCCACTTGCACAGTCCATTTATCCATATCTGCTATAATACAGACAGCTTCTGCTATTGGTTCATCCAACACTGGATGCTGGGGGGGAAAAAAGAAGAATTCATCTTATAATGAGCAAATGAAATTTTCAAAAGATAATGCTAATGGAATGAGACAAGAGATATGAAATGCAAATGGAATAAAATAATATTAAGTTATGACAGCTACTGCCAATCATCATAAGTAGAGATGTATTACCAGAATTTTGTAGTCTTTAATCCAGAACTTGATTTTCACTGATCTTTTGGCCATTTATTCATTCAACAAATTTACTGAGTACCAACCATATGCCAGGCAATTGAAGAAAAGGTTTTTTACCTTGAAAGAGCTAACAATTTTAAAAATAGATAGGATGGAGAATGACATGAACAAGTCAATCTAAGGTTCTGTGCTAACTATCCCAACCTGTCAGGCATTAATTTGCTTGAACATCTCAGGGACCATTCCTTGATCACATGAAGTACCCTGCTGGCTATGTGCAATAGGTGTTTCTATTTTACGAAGATGTATATCCAGAGTATGGATACAGAAGTTAAAAGGAGACAAGTCAACAGATACTAATATGGCTAAATGGGAAAAAAGTCACTCTGCACGCGCACACACACACAGACACACACACAGATATTATACCCTAGTTACAATTTTAAAAATACAGATCTATAGCTAATAGAAAAAAAAGAATAAAAATACTCAAATCAAACTATCATAAAGATCTCTGAATAAGTATGGAATATTAAGATTATAAAGAACGATTTCTTTTTTTGCTTTGTATATCTTTATATTATTTGCATTTCTATCACAAACATTTACCTAAATAACACTTTTAAAATTAAAAAATTTAATGCATAGTAAAAAGTATTTTTAAGTCGCATATACTGATAATAGGACCATAGGCATATAGCTGTGCTCTTGACTTTCCATGGCTTACACATAAAGACCAAAAGCAACCACTATCAGAAAGAGACGATGAGCCCTACAATGCTCAATTCCTCAACATCAGTCTATCTTTGGAAAGGTAAGAATTTCTTCAACACTGGCCATATAGATTAGCAGCAATAAGACTGAGACACAAGTAATAATTTGAAATACTTGGACCCAATGGCCTTTTTCCTTTCAAATTTTATGTTATTACAATTTTATAGTTAAGAATATACGTTTCCTCCTGGATAAACCCAGGTTTGGCACTCTCAAAGGATATACTTTTGCGCAGTTAATGAACAACCGCTTTGAATAAATCTTTTTGTTTGATGCTAAGGAAACAAAAACAAAAAAAAAATGAAGCTCACAGTCTTATGAGAAAGATAAATAGAAAGACACCTGGCTATAAAAAGACATGTATAGCCCAGCCATTGACCTGGATTGGGCGTCGACCTATGAACCAGGAGGTCAGGGTTTGATTCCCGGTCAGGGCACATGCCTGGGTTGCGGGCTAGATCCCCAGTGTGGGACATGCAGGAGGCAGCCAATCCCTTATTCTCTCTCATCATTGATGTTTCTATCTCTCTATCCCTCTCCCTTTCTCTCTGAAATCACTAAAAATATATTTTAAATTTTTTTTTTAAATAAATAAAAAGACATGTAACAGATGAAATAGAAACCAAGTGCTGGGGTAGTATAAGAGGGCAACGGGGAGTTCTGTGTGACTGGGAGTTTCACAGTAGAAGGGTCATAGGGATAGGACACTGAAGTATGGCTAGGATTGCTGTTGATAATCAGGAGAGAAATATGGATAATTCCCGTATGGATAACCCTTTGAGACAATGTAGAGGAACCTGGAGAGTATTATGCTAAGCGAAATAAACCAGTCAGAGAAAAACAAGTATCACATGATCTTACACATATATGGAATCTAATGAACAAAATAAACTGTTGAACAAAATAGATCCAGAGACATAGAATCCTGGAACAGACTGAAAATCACAGAGGGAAGGCAGAGGAGAGGGAGTGGGAAGAGATTAACTGAAGAACTTATGTGCATATATGCATAACCCCTGGATAGACAATAGTGCGGTGAAGGTCTGGGGAGAGGGCAGGAGCCGGGTGAAGGGGGAAGGGGAAAGCTGTAATACTTTCAACACTAAAGGTTTTTAAAAATTACGTGTGTGTGTGTGTGTAAAATATGAAAGACTAGTAAACCAGTTACTGAAACAGATGGCTGAAGACAAAATATTCTTTTTTTTTTTTTTTTTTTTTACCATAGTGAAAAGGCTCCAAGAGCAATAGGACTACTAATGTAAAAGCTTTGCAAGATTTGTAATGCCAATTTTGCTATCTGTATCTGTAGTAACCTTTGTTCATCTATTTTAGAGACAGTATGGCACAGGAGTTTAGAAGCATAGCATAAGAACAGGCTTAGTTAAGATTGGGATTTATTTCTAGCTCTGCCATTACCTATCTATGTAATTTGAAAATCTTTCCATGCTATACCTGAAATATAAGAGTGATAATAGTAAGTACTACAAAGGGATTATTTTAAGGTTGAGATATTACATTTAAGTGTCTAATACGCACTAGGAACACAAAAAATACTAAATGCTTATTACTATTACTATTCTTCCCTAGTAATTAGCAGGTAGCAACTCAACACCAAAATGCTTTGTCTTCAATAGAAGACAGTAACCCCATCCACTGTCAGGCTTTCAGAGAAAACACTGAAGAGCACCGTGTGTGGTAATGGGTACAGAGGAGAAAGAAGAGACTGAGCGACTAAGATCAGGCGTAAGGAAAGACAAGAAAACACACAGAGCATTACAAGGACCCACGTGGGATTTCCTAATCAAGTACTTACTCAGCACTCTATTAGGCATTGGGAGGACAGAATTGAAAATACAGAAATGGTTCCTTCACCCTGAAGAACAAATATCATCAACTGATATAATTTGTTTCTTCTGAAGCATTAAATTACTTTCTGAACCTTCTTCAAGTATTTATTTTTTTATATGTTGTACTACACTTACTCATTTACTTGCCTTATTTTCTCCATTACTAAGTAAATAACTTGAGGTCAGAAACTATTCCTTTTTCATCTATATATCCCTTGAAGTGTTAGCACTATGTTCACAACAAAGAATGTCAGTAAATATTTGATATTAAAAGGTTGAGCAATATAGCTTTTTAAATATAAAGAATGTGAGTGTGACTAAGTTTTCCTGGATTTACCATAATTCCCCTACTATATAATAAAGCACTAAAATGTACAACTGTAATTTTCTACAGATACAGGTTTAAACCTTTTTGACTAACAATTAAGTGTCTGCTTGCTCACTGAGTCATATTTTCTCACCCATATTTTCCTAGATTGCTTTCTTCATTTCCTTTTTAATGGTTATTATGGGGGATTGGGGGGGAGAAGGAAAAGTTTTGTTAAAACAAAAACTTATTAAAGTGACAGATGGAATTGGAGGGAAAAATAGAAAATTCAGCAACAGTTGGAAACTCCAATATCCACCCTCAATAACTGATGGAACAACTAGACAGAAAATCAGCAAGGACATAGGCTATCAAGCAACTTGACCTGACATCTATAGAACACTTTGCCCAATAACTCTTTAAATGCACATGGACCATTCTCCAGGATAGACCATATGCTGGGCCATAAAACAAATCTTAAATAAGTTTAAAAGAACTGAAATCAGACAAAGTATCTTGTCTGACCACAATGGAACTAATATAGAGAACAACAATAAAAAAAAAAAAAATTCAAGAATTTCACAAACATTTGGAAAGTAAACATCATGCTTCTACATAACCCTTGGGTCAAATTAGAAAATACTTGGAAGTAAATGCAAATGAAAACACAACATCAAAATTTATGAGACTCAGTTAAAAAAGTGCTTATAAGGAAAATTTCTAGCTTTAAACGCTTATATTTGAAAAGAAAAAAAATGTTTCAAATTAATAACATAGGCTTTTACCTTAAGAAGTTAGAAAAAGAGCAAACTAAACCCAAAGCAATCAGAAGGAACAAAATAATAAAATTATGATAGAAAACAATGAAATATAAAGTGATTACAGAAAAAATAAATTGAGACAAAAGTTGTTTCCTTGAAAAGATCAACAAAACTGACAAACCTTAAGCTAGAATAAGAATCAGCAAACCTTTCCTGTAAAGAACCAGATAGAAAATATTTTTGGCTTTAGGAGATGTATGATCACTGTCTCAATGACTCAACTCTGCTGTCAAGGCAGAAAAATAGTCACAGAATACATAAATAAATGGGTGTGGTCACATTGCAAAAAACCTGTATTTACAGAAAGCAGGTGTATTTGTCCCATGGGCCACTGCTTACTGATGTTTGATGTATGTGGGCCAACAGTGTCTACTAATGAAATCAAGGCATGAATGAACTCTTCTTTGGAGAATCCCCTCCTTTATGGGAGGAAAAAGGAACAATACAGATTACAAAAATCACAAATAAAAGAGGGGACATAACCAGAGACCTTATAGAAATTAAAAGGATTATTAGTATATACTATGAACAACTTTATTCCAATATATTGAAACTAACTAATTTCTAGAAAGACAAAAATCACCAAAATTGACTCAGGGAGAAAAAGAAAATCAGAATAGATATATAATAAGAAATTGAATTAGCAATTTAAAATATTCTCTTTAGGGCCCTAGCAGGTTTGCTCAGTGGATAGAGTGTCAGCCTGCAGACTGAAGGGTCCCAGGTTTGATTCCAGTTATCCCAGGTTTGATTCCAGTTAAGGGCACACGCCTGAGCTGTGGGCTTGATCCCCAGTGGGGGGTGTGCAGGAGGCAGCCAATCAATGATTCTCTGTCATCATCGATGTTTCTAGCTCTCTCTCCCTCTCCCTTCCTCTATGAAATCAATAAAAATATAAAAAATATTCTCATTTGACCCTGGTTGAGTGCTTAGTTGATTAGAGTATGGTCCAGACATGCCAAGGTTGCAGGTTTGATGTCCAGTCAGGGCACTTACAAGTAGCAACCAATAAATGTATAAATAAGTGAAGCAACAAATAAATGTTTCTGTTTCTCTCCCCCTCTCCCCCCCTCTCTAAAAATCAATCAATAAAAATTAAATAGGAGGAACCAAGATGGCGGCATAGGCAAACACCGGAAACTGCTGCCTCGCACAACCACTTCAAAAATACAACTAAAAGATAAAACAGACATCATCCCGAACCACAGGAAGGCTGGCTGAGTGGAAATTCTACAACTAGAAGGAAAGAGAAAAACACGCTGAGACTCAGAGGAGGTGCGGAAGCAAAGTGCAGAGGTACAGAGGCGCACGCCAAAAGGGCTGGCAACTGAGGACGCGACGCACGTGGAGAGGGCTGGCGGCTGAGGACGTGGCGCACTTGGAGTTGGAGAGGGCTGGAAACTGAGGACACGGTTGTCTTTTTCAATCGGGAGGGAGTCTCAAGCTCCCGACTGCTCTGAACTCCAGTTCCAGGTGAGTCTCTGGGGACCCAGACTCATACGGAGAGAAACTGGACACATCATTAATTAAAATGCCAAGAGCAAAAGACAAAGAGAGAATCTTAAAAACAGCAAGAGAAAGACAGTCAATTACCTACAAGGGAGTACCCATACGACTGCCAGCTGATTTCTCAACAGAAACTATTCAGGCCAGAAGGGAGTGGCAAGAAATATTCAAAGTGATGAATAGCAAGAACCTACAACCTAGGTTACTTTACCCAGCAAAGCTATCATTCAGAATTGAAGGTCAGATAAAGAGCTTCACAGATAAGAAAAAGCTAAAGGAGTTCATCACCACCAAACCAGTATTATATGAAATGCTGAAAGGTATCCTTTTAGAAGAGGAAGAAGAAGAAAAAGGTAAAGATACAAATTATGCACAACAAATACACATCTATCAACAAGTGAAACTAAAAAACAAGTGAATAAATAATCTGATGAACAGAATAAACTGGTGAATATAATAGAATCAGGGGCATAGAAAGTGAGTGGACTGACTATTCTTGGGGGGCGAAAAGGGTGTGGGGGGTGTGGGAAGAGACTGGACAAAAATTGTACACCTATGGATGAGAATAGTGGGTGGCGGGCGTAAGGGCAGAGGGTGGGGTGGGAACGGGGTGGAGGGGAGCTATGGGGGGAAAAAAAGAGGAACAGCTGTAATAATCTGAACAATAATTTAATTTAAAAAAAAAGAAATAATAAATAAATATAGCATATTCTTATTAAATTTTTTCTAGCTTTAAACACCTATATTTAAAAAGAAAAAGTGGCTTCTATACCCAGATGGTTTTATTGATAAATTCTATCAAACGCTTAGAGGAAACAAACAAATAAAAGCAACAACAACCTTCCAGAGAATCTTGAGAGAAAGAGAAGGGGACACTTCCCTCCTACTCACTCTATAAGGCTAGTATCATTCTGTTTTTAAAGCTAGACAAAAACATCACAAGAAAGCTATGGACGAATATCCCTTATGAATACAGACTCCAAAATTCACAATAAAATATTAATAAATCAAAACCAGTCAACACATAAAAAGTACTACATATACCATGACCAAGTGGAATGCCCCCCTAGAAATACAAAGGGTTGGTTTTTCATCTAAAAATCAATCTATGTAGTAATCCTGATTAAGTTTAAAGAAGAAACAAAAAATCACATGTTCGTTTCAATAGACACCAAAAAAGTATTTGACAAAATCCCACACCCATTCATGATTTAAAGGGAGAAGGGACAAAAAAACTCAAAATTAGGAAGAGAAAGAAATTTTCTCCACCTGATGAAAGGCATCTGTAAGAACCCTATAGCTAACATCATACTTATTAATAAAAGACTCAATGTTTTCTCTCTAAGATAGGAGCAAGACAAGGATGTCCGCCCTCAGCACTTCTGGCAACACTGTATGGAGGTTCTAGACTAAAAAAGAAGTCAAACTGTCTATTTATTGATGACATGAGCGTGTATGTAGAAAAATCCTAAAGAATCTACAAAGAAACTACAAAAACTAATATAAAAGTTCAGGATGAATATACATAAATCAACTGTACCTCTATATCTAGCAAAGAATAAACTGAAAATAAAAGAAAATAATTCTATTCACATTTAAGCATTTGCGATTTTATTGATATAATCTAGTGATAATTGGATATTGGAACTCTCTACTCACTTTCATGGTGTCAGATACAAACAAACAGTTATTAGAGAAAGTGACTGATTCAGAGAACAATGACTGTATTACACAGTGAAGTGTAACAAAAATATAAGGCAATTCTGGGTTCCACTGGTTAAGAGTTAATTCTAAATAAATTCAACAGCAGTGATGGTCACTCACCTGCACAGCATGGGACAAATCTGACAGCAGACACTGACGGAGCCTCTCATCACTACTAATTCCTTGAAGAACAAAGTCAGGCACATAAGACGAACAGTAGCCACCTAACAACGACCTCCCAAAATTGGCGATGTTGGGCTGAACAGCACTCACTTCAATTAACTTTGACCTAGAAAAAAGGTCCAGTCAAATCCACAAAATACTCCTATCCAGAGAAGAGGGTCTAATGAACAACTTTCTAACCAGGTAAGCATAAATATTCCATAACAGACTTTAGGAATGCTGTCCCTTGTATAACAGATTCTTAATACAATCAGATTATGAAACCATCATCCAAAACAAAGTAGTTAAATACCTCACAAACCCAAAGTTTGGTTTCTAACTTTTCTCAAGTATAAATCTTCTCCTTGTACATTTGACCCAGAATATTATATACATTTCCTGTTTTCCTCTTAGTGTTGGCCAAATTTATTTGTAACAGCCATTTATTACCTTCTCAGTGATTCTCTCTCCCTAGTTGCCAAACTCAGCATAGGTTCCTTTTTGGAGCATGATTATTCAATCCTAAATGGCTTGAAAATTCCTAAGAAGTAAGAAGTCTCCTACACACCAACATTACTTTTCTCCACTGCCTCCACAAAGCCTTCCTGGAGTGCCTATAGGACTTAGCCTTTAATCTTTCCTGTGAGTAATATGGCATGATAACTGAGCTGTCCAGGACTATGATCTGTCTTTCATATTAGCTGCTACCAACTTTGAGACAAACTAAATAAAAGAATGGTACATATCTACATAAGGCGTATTATAGATTGAAACTTCCTACTTACCCAGGAAAAGGTATCTCCTCTTCTTCTGTCCAATCTTCTTGCTCTCCTCCATAATAACTGCTTACTTGTCTAGTCATATCATGACCTGTATCTTCACTTTCACTATCCCCAAGGGCACTATCTGAACTTTCATTTCTTGGAATGTCCCATTCAGTTCCTACAGCATTTTTTTTCTCTGAACTCTCTTTATCCCCATGGGGGACAAGAAGGGAGAGTGTACCTCTTTGATCCTGCTGAGGGTAGCAGGTTTTACATGAATCCTGATGAACTGCTTCTACACATTTACAAAGTTCATTTTTCTGTTTGCTATTTTTTGTACATAATCTTTTTGAAAACTCTAACATGCAGCAGTGTTCTTTACTGTTTGTACTTGTTTTAACTGGGATATCATCAATAGTTCTGGTTTCAATGGAATCATCATTAAAATATTCATCAAATAAGCTCATGCTTTCTGGGTCTGAATGATTCCAACAGGGAAGTTCACAGGGCTCTCCAGAAACCATTGGTATATCAGACTCTCTAGATTGGTCCTTAGTTGTTTGTTTAGTTTCTTGATGCAAATCAATAGCCTCTCTTTCTTCCTTCAGTGGTTTGGTGTGATGCCTGGTGATCTGATCCACCACAGCCTGACTCCTGAGTTCAGTATCTGAGTCAGGTGACATAGAATCCCCAATCAAGAAAGTAACCTTTGTCTGGGTTGCCTCACAAGAAAATGCAGCGGTCACAAGCTTATCTGGAGGTTTTTTTTCCACAACCATTCCTGTGGATCTCAGCACCTTGCCTGTGTGATTACCAGAATCCAGCAATTCCTCACTCTGCCATGTTTCTTCTGCTGGTTCTAAGCCTGATTTCAACAATGCACATTTGTCAACTGGAGCAGATGCTGTGCAAACAATTGTCTCTAACTTGGTGTCAAGGCAAGCTCTTAATTTATCTCTGCACTGTTCAACATCAACAGCATTTTCTTCTTGGCAGTCAGAAGGAGAAATCATTCCACATTCATCTGCAATTCCTAGCAACTCCTTAGGGGTGTTTTGAATATCCTCACTCTCTTTTCTCAACGCATTCTCTGAATTTTGCCCAAAGAGTGGATGACTACAATATTTACAGTTACAATTAGGAGTCCTTGTTTCTTCTGACTCTTTAAAGAGCAAACTGCTTTTGTTTCTATGCATTGTGATAAGCACATATTCAGATTCTTCTATTTCACCTTTCTCTAACGTGGTTGTAATTACTGTGCCTGGCATAACAATGGCTTCATCTTCTCCATTTTCTAAAAGATGGGTTTCTTGAAGTTCAGAGCATCTTATGAAATAAGTAAGAAAGTAAAGCAGCCTCTGGACCATGTCTTGTCGTTTGCCAACTACCACAGTTCTTGCTAATCTTACAGGAGAGCCAATAGCACCATACAAGTCCCCTGCAATGGAAAAATAAGTTAATGGACACATCCTTTACTCATGCAGCTAAGCAAGCTATTTTCAATGAATGGAAACCTACTCTTACTGTATGAGGGTTCGGGTTTTATTCTTAGTTCTTTAATAGGTGAGTAACTATTCAGAAGAATAGGATAAGATGAGTGGTCTAAAACAAAGAGAAAGATGAATGCAGGGGTTTTCCATCTTCCTCCTTAAGAAGCTGCTATGGTTTTGAAACCTCAAGAAAAAAGTCAGTTGTAAAAATTGGATTTAACAAGAATATTTTGTGTCAGGCCCCAAGTAGAGAAGCAAAGCCCTCCATCTAGGTGGAGAAGTACTGCCTAAAATACTATGTACAAAAATATTCTGTAGCTGCATCCAATGCAGAGAAGGGAAGCACAATACCTTCTGGGGGACAAGGAGAGGAAGGGAGTGGTGGTGGAATGGACAGAGCTAGAGTGGTCACATCATACACTTCATCTTCCTTGATTTAAATCATAACACCAAACATTAATTTTTGCTACCCTAATCAGAACCCTATAGCACCCATGGTTTTAAAAGCTCATTTTCCTTTCCATTCTCTCAAGGGTTGGGGGCCTTAGGACAGACCAGAAAAGGCAGAAAGAGTGAGACCTATCCTAATAGGAAAACAAAGGGAAACACATTTAGCCATGTAGTTCATTTTCACTTTTGTATCCATACTAGACATAAACAATAACTACACTATAAAAGGGGGCAGAAGTAACTAAGAGTTACCAATGTCATTTTATATTTATGCTATACCTCAACTTAAACCAAAAAAAGGTTTAAACACTTTAAAATGGACAATACAAAGTAATTAATTTAAATATAATTGAATTTTGCAAGTTGTTAGTATAAATACTTAAAACCTCTATTTAAATTTTATAAAACCTTCACACTTTTTAAAGGAACGAACACATATAAGTCTCAAATAAAGGTAGCTACAAACAGTATTATGCTAAATTTTCTTTTTTTAAGCTAAGACACTGGCCCTAATACCATCATGCCACTATTCAAAGCTATTCCCAAGGCTCCCACTAATTACTAAATAAATTGAACTACTTTGGCATGGCAACTGAGTCTTTCATGACTATTTCCACTTTACTTCTACAGGTTACCTTCTTATGCACCCAAAGTCCTTTTTAAAGTAGACTACTTAAACTGAATATGCTCAGAACTTTCAACACCTAGACCCCTTTACTCATGTTATTATTGTTCCTTTCCCTCTGTATTTTTATCAGTCCAAAGCTACCAACCCAATCATCTTCCCTTGGGCAAAGTTTCCCCAATTGAACTCCCACTGAATTTTTTATTTCTCTCATAGTTGCTCTTTGAATTATCATTATTGCTCACATATTCATTACCTATAGGATAATACTGTCAATTTCTTGAGGGTAAGACCAGATATAATTTTATACCCTCCAATGTTCTTTGCTCTTTTCACAGAGCCTTAGATATATCATGTACTCAATATATAACTATAGCAGTGAAAATAGGTTTGAAATGTCCCCCCAAAAAATACTACTGAATCATGTGATTTGAAAAAAGGAGTTATTAACCATACAACAGAATACTACTTAGCATTAAAAGAGAATGAACTATTAATAAATAAAAGATAGGTGAATCTCAAAATAATTGAACAAAAGCATATACTACTCTGATTCCATTTCTTTAAAACTCTAGCAAATATAAACTAATCTATAGTGACAGAAAGCAGAACAGTGGCTACTTGGGTATATGGGACAGTGAACAGGAAGAGTGGTGAAAAACAGGAGGAAGGGCATGAGATAATTTTGGAAGTGATGGATATGTTCTCCATCTTGATTTTAGTGATGGTTTCAGAGACATATATTTTGACATATACATCAAAACTTACAAAATTATATACTTTACATATGTGTTTGCTATATATTAATTACTCTGTAATTCAGTAGAAAAAAGGAGAAGAGGAAGGAAGAAAAGGAGGGAAGAGAGAGGGTGGGAGGAAGGAAGCAAGGAAGGAGAAAGGGAAAGAAGGGAGGTTGGTTACATGAATTAATAAGCCATATGACAATCTGCCTGGCAAGTTAATTCACCAACATAACCTAAAGGAAGTTTCTATGAGGTCACCAACATGTTCTCATCATATTCCTCCCCGATTACCTAACAGCAATAGAGTAAGGGCAGCTACATTTACCAGTCACTGTCCTAAGCACTTTCACAACTCTATGAAGTATGTAATACCTATTAATTATCCCCATTTTGCAAATAAAGGAACTGTGATCCAAATGAGGCCTGCCTGATTCCACAGCCTGTGCTTTTTAAGCACCATGCTACACTGCCTTCCTAATGACTGTCTACTCATCAACTATCCCCTCTCTCCTCTATTAACCATTTATTCACTGAGGCCTAGCACGAAGGGAAACATTTTCCAAAATTACTCAACAAACAAACAAAAGTGGAACAATACAAACCTCTGCTTTTCAGTTAACTGGATTTACTAGGTGTACCAGTTAATAACGTGGATTTTTTTCAAAAGATGGCGTTACATGTATATTGATATATATGCGATTTAATATGTATGCTATTTTGTTGTATTGACAGCAAGCTCAAAACTTCATATATCAAATTTGCTGAAGGTGTTAACATCATAGATATTGTTATGCTTAAAAATGTCAAATTTCGTGCCAAAACAAGAGCATTTGCGGGAAGTTTAATTCATTATTTTGAAGAAAAAGTTATCATATACTTCAAGAAGCTTATGCTGAACACTCTCCATCTCAAAATACTTGTGAATGCTGGTTTAAACGCTTTAAAAGTGATGATTTCTATGTGAAAGACAAAGAACGTCCAGATCAACCGAAAAAGTTTGAAGACCAACAATTACAAGCATTATTGAATGAAGATGCATGTCAAACTCAAAAACAACTTGCAGAAAGATTAAACGTTGCTCAGCAAACAATTTCCCATTGTTTACAAGCATTGGGAAAGATTTTAAAGGAAGGAAAATGGGTGCCACATCAACTAAACAAAAGACAAATGGAAAACCGAAAAGTCGTCAGTAAAATGTTGCTTCAACAGCATGAAAGAAAGTCTTTTTTGCATCGAATTGTGACTGGTGATGAAAAGTGGATTTATTTTGAGAATCCCAAATGCACAAAATCATGGGTTGATCCAGGTCAACCATCAACATCGTCTGCAAGGCCAAATTGCTTCGGAGAGAAGACAATGTTCTGCATTTGGTTGGATCAGGAAGGTCTGGTGTATTATGAGCTTCTAAAATCAGGTGAAACTGTTAATACTGATCGCTACCGACAACAAATAATAAATCTAAACTACATTTTGATCATGAAATGACCAGAACGGGCCAGAAGACACAGCAAAGTAATTTTGCTTCGTGATGACGCATCATCACACACTTCAAAACCAGTTAAAGACATGTTAAAAGATCTTGTCTGGGAAGTATTAACCCACCCGCCGTATTCGCCAGACTTTGCTCCTTCAGATTACCACTTGTTCCAATCGATGGCACACAAACTTTCTCAGCAGCACTTCAAAACATATGAAGAAGTGGAAAATTGGGTCTCTGAATGGTTTGCCTCAAAACAAGCAAAGTTCTATTGGGACAGTATCCACAAATTACCTGAAAGATGGGGGAAATGTGTAGCCAGCGATGGAGATTACTTCGAATAAAGCACTTCTGATGTTTCCCTTGAAATTATTGTGTTTTCTTTGATTAAAAAATCCGCCATTATAAACCAGTACACCTAGTATTGTACTATCACGAGTCACTTTGTTGACTCATTCTTTCTAGGCAAAGGATCTAACACAAACCCCTGAAGATCCTGAAGTTACTAGTGAACAAACATTATCCTGCTTCCCTTGCTCCAACTGCAGCTCTCTAACTATAAGGAATCTCTATATATATAAAAGGCTAATATGCTAAGTGTCCCTCCAACCATCTGACCGATCGCTATGATGCGCACTGACCACCAAGGGGCAGGCACTCGATGCAGGAGCTGCCGTGATGCACACTGGCCATTTACAGAGAAATGGCACGATGGACCTGGCACCAACAAAGCAATGCTCAGCTTTCCCCAAGTGGGACACAGGCCTCGCCACCACCAAGGAGTGACAGCCCACCAAATTGCAGCCAACGCTGCCAAGACCCCATGGCACAAAATGCGGCCTACAGCCCAGCCCAGCCTAGAAACAGTTGCTGTGGGTGTTGGGTAATTACATCACGTAGCAATGCCCGGCTTCCTTTCCCTAGCGACTAGCCTCCTTGGAGTTTCTTCAGCCCAGGAACATGACTTGCTTTATAGCCAGGTACAAACATTTTATACTGTAAACCAAATGTCTGTTATGCATTTGCCTCATCTCATTTGATCCTCACACAAGTCCTGGAGTAGGTAGATAGAACATTCAGTGGAATCCTATTTTCTTTTCATTAGCTGGAAAATGGAGATTTAGAAAGTGTAGAAACCTGACCTGACTGAAAAGAAATGGTGGACCCTGAAAATAACTTCAGGTTTTCTCACTGCGCAGAATATAGTCAAACACTGCTACAGTTAAATATTTTACCCTTTGTTCTCCCTGCGTGATCTACAATAATAATCTGCTTTGTATTGCTATTTACTGCTGTGTTGCTGACAATTACCTGAAAGAGAAGTTGGGGTGCTTTCCTGGGCTGGAAAAAGTTTAGTTAAATCATAAAGTAGGTCTAATTAAACAAGTTTATTCTATATCTACAAAAGGCTAAAGTTGACTCGCACATGTGCAATACACATAAAGCTCTCGCTGGCGCCAATCGCATGTGTGTGTTTCAAACTGTCATTGCCAATCATGAATTCGGTTGATACTTCTATTATAGAGAAAGAGCAAATAGTAATATGAAAACATTTCTTCTAATTAATTTCCTTTCAATGTGCACAAATCCGTGCACCAGGCCAGTATTAAACATAAGATAGGGAGGGGAGAATAAGACAATTCAGCAGATATAAAATGACAAGTAATGAACAGGTGCTTTAGAATGAAGGAGGTAAAAAAGACCACTTACTTCCTTTTCTTTTGGCTATAAAATAACTCCAGACAGTTACACAAAATTCTAAGTATAATGCATAATATAAGGGTTATTAGACTACATACCCAGCTGTGCCCAAAGTGGGTTATATGGATGAGTTTTTGCCAACATGTCCACACTCTGAGAGGAATGTTTTTCTAAAAATATTTTTATAGGTGGTTGTCCATTTGGCATGACAGTTGGAACCCAGGCAAGATGATTGGTCAAAACTGCAGTAATGAGTGCTGGCAAGAATCTGAAAACAAAATGCATCTTATCAGATTCCAATTTGCCTTCATGAAACCTCAGGTAAATACAGTGACAGAATAAAGCAAAGAGAGTACATATTCTCATATGGCCAAACAGCATACAAAAAGAGAGGGGAAAGGATAGGCATATCCGGGATAAAAATGAAAGTTAATTAATTTTTTTGGTTGTGTGGGAGTCAAAGAAAATCCTTGAAATAAAGACAGCATTCACAAGGAACTATTTCTGATCGTAATTACAAAACAAATATGCGGTTTTACATTAAAAACTATGGATTCTTTTCAGTGTTTCATTTACACAATTTATTAACAAATCAACCAGGAGGTCTATACATTTCCAAAGTACTAAATGGGAAAATGAAGGAAAGCATTAAACAACCTACCATCAAAGAGAATTAAAAAATTTTGAATTACTCATGTGAATTCTGGGAATTTGATGTGAAAAAATATGATAAAATATCACTTTAAAAATGGATCACAGGGTCCAGCTGGTATGGCTAAGTGGTTGAGTATTGACCCATGAAACCATGGTGGTCATGGTTTGATTTCTATTCAGGGCACATTTCTGGGTTGTGGGCTCGATCCCCAGTAGGAAGCAGCCAATCAATGATTCTCCCTCATTGATGTTTCTCTCTCTCACTTCCAATCAATAATTCTCTCTCATTGATGTTTCTCCCTCTCCCTTTGAAATCAATAAAAAAATATTTAAAAAACCAAAAAAAACACACCCACCACTATTTTTTTAAAAATGAATTACTAGAATCCTGGCACTTCTTTATATTGTTAAATTTCTTTTTTATAGAATGAAACATTAAAAGTGGATACAATTCACAAAAAATGGAAAGCCTCAGAGAGTTCTGTAAGATGTCAGGACTTTTCATTTCACACATAAGACATTTTTACTGTTTCTTATTCATAAAGTTCTGTGGCCTTTTTCCATACCTTATATTGCATTATCTTTTAGAATTCAGTTTATTAATACTAGTAATCTACACTAATAAAAGAGAAACATGGTAATTGGCGTACGACCGCTACCCTTCCCATTGGCGAATCAGCGAGATATGCAAATTAACTGTCAGCCAAGATGGCAGACGGCAGCCAGGCAGCTTGAAACTAACATGAGGCTTGCTTGCTTCAGTGATGGAGGACTCCAACCTTCCCCGCTTGCCGCTGCAGGCCTCTGAGCCTGCAGTTTCAAACATTGTAACAAATACAGAAGCTAAACAAAACTCCAGAAACCAGCTTTCAGCTAGCTGGGATCTCAGAGCTGGAGTTGATACAGAGTTTCGATTATAGAACCGAAACAAACCAGATGCCTGCTTTCAGGAGCGGAGGCCTAAGAGCTGGAGCCTCAGAGCTAAAGCTGGCCCAGAATAAAAAAAAAAAAAAAGAAAAAAAGGAGCAGTTGGGAGCTTCAGTCCCAGCCTGAAAACAGCCCTCAGCCCCTCACCCAGACTGGCCAGGCGCCCCAGTGGGGACCCCCACCCTGAAGGGTGTGTGACCAGCTGCAAACAGCCATCATCCCCTCATCCAGGCTGGCCAGGCACCCCAGTGGAGACCCCCACCCTGATCCAGGACACCCTTCAGGGCAAACCAGCCAGCCCCCACCCGTGCACCAGGCCTCTATTCTATATAGTAAAAGGGTAATATGCCTCCCAGCACCGGGATCAGCGGAGCCACGAGGCCTCCCGGCACTGGGATCAGCGTGACAGGGGGCAGCGCCCAAACCCCCTGATCGCCCTGTGGCTCTGTGTGTGACAGGGGGCGGGGCCACAACCTCCCTATCGGCCCTGCTCTGTTCCTGACAGGGAGTGGGGCCACAACCTCCCTATCCGCCCTGCTCTGTTCCTGACAGTGGAAGGCGCCCCAACCCCCTGATCGGCCCTGCTCTGTGGGTGATAGAGGGCGGCGCCCCAACCCCCTCCACCCCCACGGGCCCTGCTCTGTGTGTGATGGGGTAGAGCCATAACCTCCCCTTCAGCCCTGCCCTGAGTGTGACAGTGGCGGCGCCCCAACCCCCTGATGGGCCCTGCTCTGTGTGTGACAGGGGGCGGTGCCCCAACTCCCCTATCGGCCCTACTCTGTGAGTGACAGGGGGGAGCTCCACAACCCCCTGATGGGCCCTGCACTGTGCGTGACAGGGGGGAGCTCCCCAACCCCCTGATGGGCCCTGCTCTGTGCATGACAGGGGGGGAGCTCCCCAACCCCCTGATGGGCCCTGCTCTGTGCGTGACAGGGTACAGAGCCCCAACCCGATTAGCACTGCTCTGTGCGTGACAGGGGGTGGCGCCACAACCTCCCCATTGACTCTGCCTTGAGTGTGACGGGGGCGGTGCCCCAACCCCCCAATCGGCCCTACCCTGAGCGTGACTGACGGTGGCATCGCAACCTCCCAATCCGCCCTGCTCTGTGCATGACAGGTGGCGGCGCTCCAACTCCCCAATTGGCCCTGCTCTGAGCCCAACCAGGGGCTGCACCTAGGGATTGGGCCTGCCCTCTGCCACCTGGGAGCAGGCCTAAGCCAGCAGGTCGTTATCTCCCAAGGGGTCCCAGACTGCGAGAGGGCACAGACTGGGCTGAGGGACCCCCCCCCTCCCCTCCGAGTGCACAAATTTTTGTGCACCAGGCCTCTAGTATCTAATAATTACAAAGGTAATGGTTAATTCTTTTACTTTCATAACTGAGTTTGATTATAATTTGATATCTAGTTATAGTAAACTAGAGGCCCGTTGCATGAAGAGATTTGTGCAATAGGCCTTCCTTCCCCTGGCCGCCAGCACCGGTTTTCCTCCGGCACCCAGGACCCAGGCCTTCGCTCCGGCCGCAGCGGAAAAGCCAAGCCTCTTCAGTCTTCCGTTGTCTTCAGTCTTCGCTCCGTGCCTGCATATGCAAATTAACCGCCATCTTTGTTGGGTTAATTTGTATAATCATCCTGATTGGCTGGTGGGTGTAGCAGAGTGACACCAATTTGTATGTTTCTCTTTTATTAGTGTAGATAAGAGCTAAGGTATTTAAGATAGCGCAGATAATTAAGACAGACTTACTGATTTTTTGAAGCATTTTCCATTAGAAAAGTGAACTCCTTCATGAATCGATGGCAAAGCTGGTTCTTTTCTGGAATCCCTGACATCATTGTAAGCCAAACAGGCTCTCCAATTCGTGGCATTGTGTAAAGATTACAAATTGTTGTCCTAAAAAGAAGAAAACACACTATGAAATTCATAGTTCACAGAATTACACACCTTAAAATAAAGTTACCTTACCATCTTGGGCCTCACACCTAGATTATTAAAGCTTTTGAGAGGAGACAATAAATCAAGTTGCTTTTTTTTGGTCATCAGCACAGTACCATGGAAAATGTTCTGTACATAAACTCATAATGTTGGTTCTGCCACTAGCTCTGCCCCCAATGACTGTGTGCCCTTGGATAAATTATCTCCCTACTTTAAGCATCAGTTTCGTCCACTTGTAAAAGGATAGGACTAGATAATTTCTAAAACCTCTTTCAGTTTTACATTTCTAAGGTATATGCTGTATTTAAATATAAATAATGAGCAACATAGAAAAGAAAAATATTATAAATGGGGTAATAGCTTATCCATATACCCACTTAAAACAACAGTTTAGCCCTAGCTGGTTTGGCTCAATGGATAGTATGTTGGCCTGTGGACTGAAGGGTCCCAGGTTCAATTCCGGCCAGGGGCACATGCCTGGGTTGCGGGCTCGATCCCCAGTGGGGGGCGTGCAGGAGGCAGCCAATCAATGATTCTCCCTCATCATTGATGTTTCTATCTCTCTCCCTTTCCCTTCCTCTCTAAAATCAATAAAATATATTAAAAACAAACAAACAAACAAAAAACACAACAGTTTATCTGCATCATTTAGTTGCCTCAGCTGAGACTTTTTAGTAAAGTTGTGAAGGATGATGAGGACACTATAGATGGCATGCTATATTTTAACTCTCAACCTTCTGAAGTTTTCCTTGAATCAACACAAGAAAGGATTAAGTAATTATGATAGTGCTCTTCTGCCTATTTCATTTATTTAAGCAACAGCTAGTCTTGTGACTTACACTCTCTCTTGAAGGCTTCAAGGATAACTTTGAAATGTCAATTCTTTTCCTTTACATTAGAATCTATTCAGCAAAGTCCTACACTCTTATCAGACTAAACAACTCCTGTAAAGTTGGGCCTTAAGAATCTAATTGGTCTCTAGTTCTCTGATAACTCCACAAGTGCTAGCATCCATTTCAGCATAATTCTCTAGCACCTACAATCCAAAAAAGGAAAACAACAACTTTCACTAAATTGTGACCCAACATGAACAAGCTATATTCCAATGAATAGAAGTGACAAAAAGAGGTTAACAATTTTTTTAAAAAATATGTCTTTATTGATTTCAGAGAGAAAGGGAAAGAGAGAGGAAGAGAAAGATAGAAACATCAATGATGAGATAATCACTGATCAGCTGCCCCCTGCACACCCCCTACTGGGGATCCAGCCTACAACCGGGCATATGCCCTTGACAGGAATTTAATCTGGGACCCTTTAGTCCAGAGGCCAACATTCTATCTACTGAGCAAACTGGCTACGGTGGTTAATAAAGAGTTCTTGACAGGACATAAAATCATTACTGAGAGCTTAAAAATAAAAAGAATTAAAGGTATTTTACAGAGAAAAATATGACTAGAATATAAAATAAGGACATGTGAAAATGCTTATTTTTAAAGCATACTAGGAATGTCCAGATACTACTTAATAATATGGAGGTAAATAACAAAAGAAATAGTTAAGGGAATAAGAGAGGTTGGATGGGATTCGCTTATTTTTCATTATTAGACGATTCAGTACATTTATTTTTTGTTTCTTAACCATGGGAATTTACTTTTTGATTAAAAGAAACACTGTATAAATGAATCAATGAGCTGGTCAATTCATTTGCTATTAATTTCTTTAGTGTATTAGTGTCTACTAAAAACCTGTGTGTCATGGGTCAGGGGCAAATCATTAACATTAGTATAGTGGCCCACTGAGAAACACTAATGCCTTAGCATTTTGGTGTTTAAGGATATGTACTATGATCTCAAAGTGTATCAGGTGCAAAGAAATTATGAGTAATGCTTCTCCCTATACACAATTCTATGTTGTCATCAATGATCTAGAAGTAATGGTGCTTTCTTCCCCACTAATGACTACCTGGTATGTCTTGCCCTTCAGTGGTAAGAAGGGCAGGTATTTTCAGTCATCTGATTCTTCATTTCTCCTAAGCTGTCCTTGGAGAATGAAAGACTCCTTTAGTTGTAAGGGAACTGTGCATATAATTTAGTTTTGCTTGTTATGCATTAAATCTATATAAAAATCCAAGGACCTCATCTTTCTGAAAGGAAGCTATGCTAACTAAAATGTACTTCCTGCTTCTCTAGGTTTCAGGATTTCTGTATACATGTGAATCATTTCCTTCCTCTTCTCAACTACCCAAAATTCATTAATTTTTCTGGTCTCAAATAATCACCTAGTTTAAAAATCTAATTATAATTTTTAATAACCATTTAGTTTTAAAATTAAGTATGACAGTCTCATTATTTGCAGTAATGTTCTACAGTTACATCAGTAATGATGTGAACACTGAATTAGTAAACACTGAGTCACTATTCCTAGGGGAAGTACAGGGTCAAAGTTCTAGTGAGCCTTTGGATCACAACATTTTGCCAACCCATCAATACATAATCTTGTTCTATATGGATTTATTAACATCAAATTCACAGCCAACAGCACAATGACTCATGCCTGAATGAAGCTTACCTAACACATGTTATTTTTCTCTGTAAGGCACATCACAGCCTTCTTGCACTTAGGAACATTGGTCAGCATTTCAGCACAATATATGTCCTTCTATATATAGAAGGACATATATATAAATAATAAGAGCTGAAATAAGAACGCAGAGCATTGTCTTGTCCGATATCATCTGGGAATGTGTGTGTAAGGCCACTCAAATTTTTCATTGCTCTGTGCATGTTCACAAATGATCGTAAAAGCATGTGGGTATATTTTGGGATTATGAATCTTATAAAGTAGTGAATTCATAAATACAGAATTCATAAATAATGAGGATCAGCTGTACACATTAGAGTACTTCTACAGATAGCCTTCAGTTCGATTCCTGGTCAGGGAATATGCTTGGGTTGCAGGCTCAATCCCAAATGTGGGGTGTGCAGGAGGCAGCCAATCAATGATAGTCTCTCATCATTGATGTTTCTATCTCTCTCCCCCTCTCTCTTCCTCTCTGAAATCAATAAAAATATCTTTTTAAAAATTATTAGTTTATAAAGTTTTTTAGATATTGTAAGAATGCTTAATTAACCTACATAGCCTTTCAGATTTCCAGTGACTGAAGTGAAATAATCACACTAATATAAAAGGAAAGGCACTCAATCATGATATATATTTTCAATGATTTTATAACTCATACATGTTTTAAATTCTAGGCAATGTTAAAATTCTAAGGCTAGGCCATTCATACTACCTTATTACCAAAGCAATTAACTTGCAAGTATTTAATTCAATTGTTTTAAATAAAAATACTGTTTATAACCTAAGAGCAAGATCAATCTTCTAAATGGAATGAGTCTTATGACAATATTTACTATTCTGGTAACCTCAGCTGGGTCTATAATGACAGTGTTACCTCGGAGCTCAAATAGGGACTCTTGGCCTTCTGCCACAAAGCTTGTGACTGCAGAAAGGAACTGTAATCCAATAATGTAAGTAATAGCTCCAAGTTCAAGGGCAAAGATTCATTACCTTGTAATGCTGAAAAATGTAAAACTCAGAAACAATATTGCAGGATTCTTAGGCAAATAAGCAAAAAGTCAATACTGTCTCTCCAGGCTAAAGAAGGAAAGACTAAGTAGATGAGAGGAAGAAGTAGTCCTGAAATGGTTCTCTCAAAGGGAGACACACATCAGTCACTTTGTGTGATTCCTAACGTAAGTTTGTATGCAATAGTTTGCCTGCCATAATGAGAGCAGTTACAGCAGTTGTTGCAGCTTTAGGCACAAACTTTGTTGTGTGAGAAAATTCTGGCAGAAGAAAAACTATTTGCTTTGCCATCATCTAGAAAAAAGATCAAGCAACATCAAGTTCATATTCACTATATCCATCCTTGTATTCCATGTATCCAAGAACATCAGATTACTATCACTGGTTAAATAACTAGTCCCTATATCTAACAGCCCAACAGAAGACAAAGCACATTTCTGTTGGAATAAGGGTCTCTTCTGGTCATCTTAGCTTGTCTAATGGTCCAATACTAAAAATCACACTGCTGATGGCTCCCTAATGTGCCTCAATCCCAAGCACTTTTAATATTTAATAACTTAGAAACCAATAGGTTACTGAATTATACACTCCTTTGCCAATGAAAGAAAGTAATTTAAAGAATTAAATTTTATCAGAAATAAGTTAAAGAATACAAATAAATCTTTTGTGTACACTGCAAAACAACTCTATATTATCAGAATGTAGAGAATATGTACCTGAATTCATTTAGGGCATCAACTATTCGATTATAAGCCAAACTCCTCTGGCTGGTGTCAGCTGATCTCCGGCTCATTTTCATAGCCTTAAAAGCAATCAAATAGTTAATTCTTATACTGATCATGGGTAAAATATGGGGGAAAAAGTTAGAGACAAAGTCACATATTTCCACAATACTCTACCACCATTTTTATCTAGAAAAAATGTAAAGAAGACATACATATTTAGAGTCGCTTTCTTTTATACACTAAGGTCATTAATGACTACAACGAAATTCAAAATTTTCAAGTGTTAAATCTCTTGTTGTAACTGTCAAACCACAGAATGTCAACACACAAAGAAATTGATGTTGACAGTTTCTGGGTTACATAAAACTATTTTTTTTTTTCCTCAAGTAGAGCAGGACACAATAACAACTCAGTAACAATAGCTCATGATTTTCTCTAATATTTCCAAATGGTTGTGTTAAGAACAGGGGGATGAAAGCATGAGTGGGGGGAGGAGGTTGGGGGTCAATGGGGGGATGAGGACACATTTGTAATACCTTAACCAATAAAGAAATTAAAGATTAAAAAAAAAAACAAAAAAGAAAACTATTTTTTAAGATCTGAAATATAAAGATTCTACTGAAAGATATCTTAAGTTAGTAATATCTGCTTTCTTTAAAACATATTTAGCCAAGGTTGAAAAGCCTTGCTTTAAATAGAAAAAGGGGATCAGGATTAGTCTGTGTATATTAAAAAACAAAACCTCTAATTTTGTAGATTTTTTAAAAGAATATATTTTATTGATTTTTTACAGAGAGGAAGGGAGAGGGATAGAGAGTTAGAAACATCGATGAGAGAGAAACATCGATCAGCTGCCTCCTGCACACTCCCTACTGGGGATGTGCCCACAACCAAGGCACATGTCCTTGACCGGAATCGAACCTGGGACACTTCAGTCCACAGGCCGGCACTCTATCCACTGAGCCAAACTGGTTAGGGCTAATTTTGTAGATTTTTAAAAGAGGATGTATTTCTGCATTAAGTAACTACAAATTAATTTTTAAATATTTTAACATATATCTAAAAGATCAGACTACATCAGCCATAAATCATGCTCATGTATATCAAAAACCTTCATAGGGTAAAAGGAAACTTACTTTATGTTTTTACAAACTGTCAATAAACTCCCAATTTATAAAGAAGTGAATTTTTTTTTAGCTAGAATTGAGAAGTATTCTTCCTTAATTTTACCAGCAGTAGAAATGTTTAATTAAATCATAGATCTCAAAAGGTAGTACAAACTTCAAAAGAATACCCAAGGTTCCCAGAAACAAAATCCATAGCTTTACAATAAAAAAAAGTGACAGTTTAAACTGGCTCCAGAAGATAAATTTTTTTGAATGGTTTAGTGTTTATTATATTCTATCATTAATTAACAACTGTAGAACTTTTCAAATTAAGTTCTATAAATTTATATAAAAGTATTCATTCATATAGCTTTATCTTTCAGCTTTAATAAGAAATGAGATGTTAAACTTGAATAAATATCCAGAGAACTATAAGTATACTAGAGGCACATTGCACGGTGTATGAATTCATGCATGGGTGAGGTACCTCAGCCTGGCCGGAGATTGGGGCTGATTGGAGCCAATTGGGGACGCGGGAGGTTGGCCAGCTGGCTGGGGGGAGGAACCAGCAGGAGGTTAGCCAGCAGTCCCGATCGGGGTCATCAGGGCCGACCAATCAAGGGGAGGGGCTGTGGAAGGTTGGCTGGCCACAGGAGGTTGGCTGTGGGAGCGCACTGACCACCAGGGGGCAGCTCCTGCGTTGAGCATCTGCCCCCTGGTGGTCAGTGTGCGTTATAGAGACTGGTCGACCGGTCGTTTGGTCGCTTAGGCTTTTATATATATACACTAGAAGCCCAGTGCACGAAATTCGTGCACTGGGGGAGGGGGTGTCCTTCAGCACAGTCTGCACCCTCTCCAATCTGGGACCCCTCGGGGGATGTCCGACTGCCGGTTTAGTGGGATCGGGCCTAAACCAGCAGTCAGACATCCCTCTCACAATCTGGAACTGCTGGCTCCCAACCGCTCGCCTGCCAGCCTGCCTGTTTGCCCCTAGACACTTCTGCCTGCCAGCCTGATCACCCCCTAACCACTCCCCTGCCAGCATGATTGGCACCTAACTGCTCCCCTGCCAGCCCGATTGCCCCCAACTGCCCTCGCCTGCTGGCCCAATCGCCCCCAACTGCCTTACCCTGCCGGCCCAATCACCCCTAACTGCCTTCCCTTGCCAACCCAGTAGCCCCCAACTGCCCTCCCCTGCCAGCCTGGTTGCCCCCAACTGCCCTCCCTTGCAGGCCTGGTCCCCCCCCAACTGCCCTCCCCTGCAGGCCTGGTCCCCCACAACTGCCCTCCCCTACTGGCCATCTTGTGGCAGCCATCTTGTGACCACATGGGGGCGGCCATCTAGTGAGAGAGTGTGACAGTCAATTTGCATATTACCTCTTTACTATATAGGATAGATAGGTAGGTAGATAGATAGACAGACACACAGACTGACTGACTTTAGGTTAAAGATGGTCAAAGCATTTAAACATTTGAAAAGTCATCCATAATGAGTTCTATAGTGCTTAAATACTCCAAGTTTTATACAAAGCTTGAAACACATCTCCCAGTAACTTAAAAGTTCAGTTCAGCCATAGCTAAATATTATGTATTGACTTTGGCAACAACAGACTACAAAAAGAGAGAGAAGCTGACTAAAGAAAATGTCAAAAGTGCCTAACTTCTGAAAAAGTAAAAATGGCCTTTACTCATTTTTTTCTGTGAAAGAAAAAAAAAGGCATTGCTAATGACCTATTTGGCTTTTGACAGATTTAATGTGAATAACTAATATCATTGTCCTCTCTAGAGGCAGATGATTCTTAGTCACTACTAAGTTACTGAAATGCACCCTCTGCTTTCTAGACTACTCTAATTGGTCTTTACATATCCAGCCTTTTTTACTCTAGTCTCTTTTAAACATGCTGCCAAATTAATCTTCCTGAAGCACAATTTGGAGACAGCCTTAAAAACAAAGTCAAAACTTCTCTCAAGCATTCTAGATTCTTTGAGATCTGTATCCATTAACTCTTCCAGCCATCTCCTTTTTGCATACTGTCACAGGGATTAAGAACTTTAGTTATATCCACTGATTCACTGGTTCAACTTCTGGGAATTTCTTCTGAAAAATAATCTGGAAAACTCACCAATGTGTTAACTATACTGTAGCTATAATTGTGAGAAAGTAGAAATGGCCTAATAGAAAATTTGTTACTTATGGTAAGGAAAGTGACTAAAATATATTTAAGAATAATTTATAATGACAAGAAAAGGCATGTGTTACAATTATGAGTTTTTTTTTAAATATGCATGTAATTAAAGCAATATGGACACAGCACAATCCCAATCAAGTGAAAGTACAATATGCATAGAAAAGGCCTGGACAAGACTTTCAGCAAAACATTAATGAATTATCTTTGGGTGGCAAGGATATCAGTTTTTCTTGCTATTCTGCTATATCTAATTTTTGAAGTTTTGTTTAAAAAAATCCTACATATCCTTTAAGACAGAGGTCGCCAACCGGTGGTCCGCGGACCACTGGTGGTCCGTGAAGTCCAAAAGGTTGGCAACCACTGCTTTAAGATGCAGCCCAAATGAAACATCATCCCAATAGTGTTATTTTTTTCACATCTTATCTTTAGTTTCTAGAATAGTGCCTGCCACTTCTTTCCTATGAACTATTAAAAAAAGCTTGGCTTGTTGTCCTCTCCCTTTTTAGTATCCTTATTTTCTATCTTGTATTCACAATTTTCTTACTTTATGAAAATTTATTATACACTATCAGCAGCAATTGATCACTTGTGCTTTCTTAAATCATTTTCATCACTTGGGTCCCTGGCCCTCTCCCCCAAAAGTACTCTCTCCTTTTTCCTCCTACTTGAATGGCCAATCCTCAGTCTCTTCTCAAATGTTAACTGCTGAAATGCTCCACAAATCAGGCCTAGGATCTCTGCTCCTCTCTTCTCTCCTGACCTTTTCCCTAAATTCTAGACTTACAAAAAACCATTTGGATGTCCAGGAGGCATCTCAAACAAACCCCTGATCTTCATCTGCCAAATATGTTTTACCTGTAGTTTCCCCATTTGAGTACGGGTAAGTCCATCCTTCTTATTGCTCAAATAAAATTCTTGAATCAACCTCTATTGCTCTCTTACACCCCAATTCAGCCCACCAGCTAATCTCATTAGCTCTATTTTCAGTATGTCCAAAATCCAACCACTTCTCAACAATTTCACCACTAAGTTGGTTTGAGTATCCATCATCTCTTACCCAGATTATGCCAATAACCTCCTAATTGGTCCTACCAACATCTATCTTTGCTCCTAGAAATCTATTCTCCACCAGCATTAGAGTGATCCTCACATATAATGTCATTCCTCCACTCAAACCCCCCAATGGTCTCCCATCACTCTTAAGAGTAATTGACAATGCTCTTACAATGGAATCCTATAAGGCCCTATATTATTTTGTCTTCTAACCCAGCCACTTTGGCCTCCTTCCTGTTGATCAGGCATCAGGCTTACTCCTAACACAGGACCTTTGCCTCTGCCTGGAACATTCTCCTCTCAGACAGTTGTAGCTCATTTCCTTCATATTTCTGGAGCATATGTCATTTTATCAGGAGCCTTTCAGACTAGTCTCTAAAAATTACCAAGCCTTCCACCCATCACTTCTTATAAATCTGTTTAATTTTTCTCCACAGTGCTGAATCCCATCTAGTAGCTTATATGTTCATTTGTTTATTTGATGTCCCATGAGGTCAGGAGTGTCACTTTTTTCAGATCTTATCTTCAGTTTCTAGAATAGTGCATGACACATTATAGGCCCTCAAATATTTATTGAATGAATGGATGAATGCCCTTAGGTCTTTTATTAGGCAGTAAGCTCCTTAAAGAGTTAAGGTTTTTTTTGCATCTCCCAGAGCAGTTTGCAGGGTATATGCACAGTACCTATTAATTTTTGTGTCAAATAAATAAACACAATGCTTAAGCAGAAGAATAAGATTCAAAGAAAAATAAAGGATATAAACAAACCAACAACATGACTATGCTTACCTGTTCTATTGCACTCTTTAATTTGTTCATGTGGCTTTCAAAGAGAGGAAAATGTGAAAAAAAGAATTCATTAAATTTGTTATTTTCATCTTCATCTTTGGATAATGAAAAGATTACGCCAATTGCAATCTTCTTTTTTCTCACAATTCCTGGTGTAGGGCCACAGCTTTCATCTGATAGATTAAAGCTTTCTTCTATAGACCTTAAAAACAAATATTTTTATTTAAAAAAATATAAATATAATTAAATTTTCAACTCTATCCCCTTGCTAATTAAATGTAGGCAAACTAAAGGCCTTCTGTTTTATCAAGTAAATCTAAAAATTCCTATCAATTGTAAATCTCTTTCAGAAATCTACTGGCTAGTCCTTCATGGTCAAATTTTAATAAAAAATTTTAGGAGTCAGGCCGAAACCGGTTTGGCTCAGTGGATAGAGCGTCGGCCTGCGGACTGAAAGGTCCCAGGTTCGATTCCGGTCAAGGGCATGTATGTTGCAGGCACATCCCCGGTGGGAGATGTGCAGGAGGCAGCTGATCGATGTTTCTCTCTCATCGATGTTTCTAACTCTCTATCTCTCTCCCATCCTCTCTGAAAAAAAATCAACAAAATATATAAAAAAAAAATTTTAGGAGTCAGTGTAGGAACACTTTGGTTTAACTAAAAGTCACTAAAATATAGATAATCCCAATTCATAATTAACCTAAATATGCCTGAATTTTAAGGTTTATAGATGAGTCTGATTCAGCCTCTTCACTGTTCTAGAATCTACTTGTCTCTTCTCTTGATTGAAGGAGTAAAATCAAAGATGAAGGAATTACAGGGGGTAAATAAAAGAGAAGCTTCATTATCTATAGTTGCACTTAACATAAACTAAAAAAAAAACACACCACCTTTCAAGCATGAATTAACTTGCCAAAATAGAAACAGGAAAAACTGAAATATCAAATTATGCAGTACATGGATCAAAGTCCCAACAGAAGAGTTAAGACTAGAACACTCTTACAAGAAAACAGGGGGATGGTTCAGATCCAAGTCACGGCACCAAAAAAAAAAAGAGAGAAAAAAAAGAAAAGAATAAAAAAAGAAAACAGAGGGTCAAAAGCTTTATGATGGACTTGACAATGATTTCTTGGGTAAGACAGCAAAAGCACAGGCAACAAAAAAAAAAAAAGAGATGAACTACATAAAAATTAAAAACTGTTGGTTGAGCACCATCCCATGCACGAAAAGGTCACCAATTTGATTTTTGGTCGAGGTATGGGCAACTGAATAGATGTTTCTCTCTCACATCAATGTTTCTCTCTTTCTCTCTCCCTCTCTAAGAAAATAGATTTAAAAAGGAATAAAACAGCAACCCGTGGAATGGGAGAAAATATTTGCAAAGCATTTGTATGATAAGAGATTGATATCTAGAATATATAAATAATTCCTACAGCTCAACAACAAAAAAACAACCTGACTTTAAAATGGGCAAAACACTTGAACAGATATTTCTCCAAAGAAGACATATACATGGCCAATAAGCACGTGAAAACATGTTCAACACCACTAGACATTACAGAAATTCAAATCAAAACCACAATGAGATACTACTTCACACCTATTAGGATGGCTGTGATAAAATAAAATTTAAAAAAGAAAAATAACAATTGGCAATGATGTAGAGCAAGCATGTCAAACTCACGGCCCACAACAAATATTTTTGCGGCCCAGCCAATATAATGGTATGTGAGAAACATTTTAATAAAAATTTCGTAACTTAATTTTTACAATATCCTGTTATACATAATTATTAATAATGAACTATAACGTTCACTAATGACTAATTACTATAATCGTGTTGCATTCATTTCCCTTTTGCGCCTTACGCATAGGCGCACCATTTCTCTCCACTAATACTAGCACCGAATATTTTAGCAGCCGACTGCCACATCATTAGTCTTCCACTGACTTGTTTGGTGTGCACAACAGGAAATATTCGCTTTCAGAGAACAAGAAAAATAGGTTTATTTGTGTTACACTTATTAATCTGTGGTTATTCAGTGTCTGGTAAGTTCATGTTTGAGAAAAAATATTAATTTTTATTAAAATGTTCTATTGTTTTATGTTAATGATTACTCATTTATTTCAGCCCTTTTATATTCAGCATGGCTCTATCGAAATAAACCTACATTTCTATGAGTATTGAAGCTTTTGTGTTTTTGTGGCCCACATAAACTTAAACCTTGTTAATTTGGCCCATGTTAGCCTTTGAGTTGACATGCTTGACGTAGAGAAATTAAAACTCTTGTGCTTTTCTGGTGGAAATGCAAAATGGTGCAGCCACTATGGAAAACATTATGGTGATTCCTCAAAACTTACAATCTAGCAATTCCATGTCTGGGTATAGACCAAAAAGAAATGAAAGCAGGGACTCGAACTAGTATTTGTACACATGGCCATGTCCATATCAGCATTATTCATAATAGCCAAAAAGTGAAAACAACCCAAATATCTATCAACAGATGAATATGAATAAACAAAATGTGTTATATACATATAATGGATTATTATTCAGATAAAAAAGAAAACGTTGATTCATGTTACAACATGGATGAACCTTGAAGACATGCTAAGCAAAATAAGCTAGACATAAAAGGACAAATATTATATGATTCCAATTATATGAAGTATCTAGAATAGTCAAATTCATAGAGACAAAAAATAGAGTGGTGATTTCCAGGGACAAAGAGGAAGGAGGAATGGGGGTTAATTATGGTTGAATGGATAGAGTTTTAGTTTGGAGAGATAAGTTCTGGACATGAATAGTTGCACAACAATGTGAAGGTACTTAATGCCACTGAACTATATATCTAATAATGGTTAAAATGGTAAATTTTATGTTATGCATACTTTACCACAATAAAAAAAAGATGCAATAGATTTAAAAATAATACAAAAGATCAATGAAACCAAGAGCTGGTACTTTGAAAAGATAAACAAGACTGATGAGCCTTTAGCCAGACTCATCAAGAAGCAAAGAGAGAAGACTCAAATAGAGGAGAAACCAAGATGGCGGCATAGGTTAACGCCGGAGATTGCTGCCTCGAACAACCACTTCAAAAAACAACTAAAAGACGTAACGGACATCATCCAGAACCACAGGAGGGCTGGCTGAGTGGAAGTTCTACAACTAGGAGGAAAGAGAATATCATACCCAGACTCAGAGGAGGCGCAGTGCTGAAGTGAAATACTAAGGTGCGGAGTGCACGCGGAGCGGGCTGGAGGCCGAGGGCGCGGTTGTTGTTTTCAATCGGGAGGGAGTTTCAGACTCTGAGCTCCAGATCCGGGCGAGTCTCTAGGGACCCAGACTCAAATGGGAGAAGCGGGACTGTCTGGCTTAGGTCGGAACTTGAAGGCAGCTTTCTCTCCGAGGTTTGCAGCAGTTGCTGGGACTCTGTGAGGCAGAGCCCCTAGGGACAGAACTGAGAGCAGCCATAACTGCTCCCTCCACCCGCCCTGTTTGATCCCGTGCGACCCGCCCCGCCCAAGCCCTGTGCAGAGCCATTTGCCGGATAGCCTCAGGCAAACGCTAGATTAGCACCGCCCTAGAGATCCAGCACAGAAGCTCTCCCACTGCAGACACAGCTGACTCTCATAGCCAGTTAGCCTGGAGGTCAAATCACCCCCGGTATTGCCGACAACAATCAAGGCTTAACTACAACAAGACTGCGCACAAAGACCACTAGGGGGTGCACCAAGAAAGCATAAAAAATGCGGAGACAAAGAAACAGGACAAAACTGTCAATGGAGGATATTGAGTTCAGAACCACACTTTTAAGGTCTCTTAAGAACTGTCTAGAAACCGCCGATAAATGTAGTGAGATCCTCAAGAAATCTAATGAGACCCTCAATGTTATGATAAAGAACCAACTAGAAATTAAGCATACACGGACTGAAATAACGAATACTTTACAGACTCCCAACAACAGACCAGAGGAGCACAAGAATCAAGGCAAAGATTTGAAATGCGAAGAAGCAAAAAACACCCAACCAGAAAAGCAAAATGAAAAAAGAATCCGAAAATACGAAGATAGTGTAAGGAGCCGCTGGGACAGCTTCAAGTGTACCAACATCAGAATTATAGGGGTGCCAGAAGGAGAGAGAGGGCAAGATATTGAAAACCTTTTTGAAGAAATAATGACAGAAAACTTCCCCTACCTGGTGAAAGAAATGGACTTACAAGTCCAGGAAGCGCAGAGAACCCCAAACAAAAGGAATCCAAAGAGGACCACACCAAGACAAATCATAATTAAAATGCCAAGAGCAAAAGACAAAGAGAGAATCTTAAAAGCAGCAAGAGAAAGAAATTCAGTTACCTACAAGGGAATACCCATACGACTGTCAGCTGATTTTTCAACAGAAACTTTGCAGGCCAGAAGGGAATGGCAAGAAATATTCAAAGTGATGAATACCAAGAACCTACAACCAAGATTACTTTATCCAGCAAAGCTATCATTCAGAATTGAAGGTCAGATAAAGAGCTTCACAGATAAGGAAAAGCTAAAGGAGTTCATCACCACCAAACCAGGATTATATGAAATGCTGAAAGGTATCCTTTAAGAAGAGGAAGAAGAAGAAAAAGGTAAAGATACAAATTATGAAAAACAAACATGCATCTATCAACAAGTGAATCTAAGAATCAAGTGAATAAATAATCTGGTGATCATAATAGAATCAGGGACATAGAAAGGGAATGGACTGACTATTCTTGGGGGGAGAAAAGGGGTGTGGGAGATGCGGGAAGAGAATGGACAAAAATCGTGCACCTATGGATGAGGACAGTGGGTGGGGAGTGAGGGCGTAGGGTGGGGCGGGAACTGGGAGGAGGGGAGTTATGAGGGGAAAAAAGAGGAACAAATGTAATAATCTGAACAATAAAGATTTAATTAAAAAAAAAAAAAGAAGACTCAAATAAATAAAACTGGAAATAAAAGATGTGAAGTAACAACTGACACCACAGAAATACAAAGGATTGTAAGAAAATACTATGAACAACTATATGCCAAAAAATTAGACAACGTGGGTGAAATGGACAAATACCTAGAAACATACAATCTTCAAAAATTCAATCAGAAAGAATTAGAAAACCTGAACACATCAATAACAACTAAAGAAATTGAAGCAGTGGTGAAAAAAGTTCAAGCAAACAAAAGTCCTAGACCAGACCACTTCACTGGGGAATTTTACAAACGTTCAAAGAACACCACCTATATCCTCCTCAAACTATTCCAAATAATTCAAGAGGAAGGAAGATTTCAAAGCTCATTTTTCTAGGCCAGCATTATCCTAATTCCAAAACCAGATAGACAATACAAAGAAGGAAAATTACAGGCCAATATCCCTGATGAACATAGATTCTAAAATCCTCAACAAAATATTAGCATATCAGATCCAGCAATATATCAAAAAGAACATACACCATGACCAAGTGGGATTTATTTGAGGGATGCAAGGTTGGTGGGGGGAGCACAGGAGACTTGGTTGAAAAGTTTGTAAGGATGAAATTCCGAAAAGGGAAGTTGGCTGAAGGTGGCCCACCACTCTTTATCAGAATTCTGACTTAGGGGAGTTGGCCAAAGGCAGCTGTCCCTAATTGTTCCTTGACCTTTCCAAACAAGTTTGTGTATGTGCAGACCCTCAAGTATTTACCAGAATCTTTATGCTTGATCTTTAGGTGTCCTTGCTTAAAGGATATTGCAGACACATGCATCCTCCCAAGATTACTTACCCTACTGATTGTATCTAAAAGATAAACTTTATCTCAAACTGCTGTTACAATAAAAGCCTGAAGAGGCAGGCGAAAGAGGCTGCCTGGTTCCTTTAGCCAAGCAGTCCCTTAGCCCTCTCTTTCAGAGCAAACCTGTGTCAGAGTAATCATTCATCCATTGCTCAAGGTCTGTTGGTCAGCCCTGGCAAAGGTTGGTACAACATTCTTAAATTAATAAATGTTTCCAGATCTTAGCTATGGTGAATTGTGCTGCTATGAACATAGGGGTGCATATATCCTTTCTGATTGGTGTTTCTGGTTTCCTGGGATATATTCCTAGAAGTGGGATCACAGGGATAAATGTGATAAACAAAATAAAAGATAAAAATTACATCATCATTATCAACAGAAGTAGAAAAAGCATTCGACAAAATCAAGTACCGATTTTAAAAAATATATTTTTATTGATTTCAGAGAGGAAGAGAGAGGGAGAAAGAGACAAACATCAATGATGAGAGAGAATAATTGATTGGCTGCCTCCTGCATGCCCCAGACTGGGGACTGAGCCCACAACCCAGGCATGTGCCCTGACCGGGAATCAAACTGTGACCTCTTGGTTCATAGGTTGACGCTCAACCATTGAGTCATATTGGCCTGGGACCCATTTTTGAAAAAGATTTTCACCAAAGTGGGAATAAAAGGATCATACATCAACATACTAAAGGCCATATATGACAAACCTACATCTAACATCATACTCAATTGGCAAAAACTCTAAAAACAGGTATAAGACAGGGATGTCTGCTTTCACCACTCTTATTCAACATAGTGCTGGAAGTCTTAGCTACAGATGTCAGACAAGAAAAAGAAATAAAAGGCATCCAAATTGGAAAGGAGGAAGTATAACTGTCATTATTCACAGATGACATGATACTGTACATAGAAAACCCTAAAGACTCCACCAAGAAACTACTAGATTTAACAAAGGAATTCAGCAAAGTAGCAGGATACAAAATTAACATCCAGAAATCTATAGCATTTTATACACCAATAGTGAACTCTCAGAAAGAGAAACTAAAAAAACAATCCCATTTACCATTCCAACAAAAAAATTAAGATACCCAGGAATAAACTTAACCAAGGAGGTAAAAGACCTGTACTAAGAAAACCTATAGGACACCGAAAAAAGAAACAGAGGAAGATATAAACAAGTGGAAGCATATACCACGTTCATGGGCTGGACGAATTAACATCATTAAAATGTCCATACTACCCAAAGCCATCTATAGATTCAACACAACCCCTATTAAAATATCAATGGCATATTTAACAGATCTAGAACCAATACTCCAAAAATTAATATGGCATCAAAAAAGACCCCAAATAGCCATAGCAATCTTAAGAAAGAAGAACAAAGTTGGAGGAAGCACAACACCTGATATCATACTATACTACAAAGCCACTAAAATCAAAGCAGCCTGGTACTGGCACAAGAACAGGCATATAGATCAATAGAACAGACTAGAGAACCCAGAAATCAACTCAAGCCATTACACTCAATTAATATTTGGCAAAGGCATAAACTTGAGTAAAGACTGTTTCTTCAGTAATTGGTGCTGGGAAAATTAGATAGCAACATGCAAAAAAAAGAAAAAAAAGAAAAGAAAGAAACTAGACCACCAACTTACACCATTGACAAGAACAAATTCAAAATGGATAAAAGACTTAAATATAAGTTATGAAACCATAAAAACCCTAGGAGAAAACAGGTAGCAAAATCTTAGACATCTCATGTAGCAGAATTTTCACCAATACATCTAGTAGGGCAAGAGAAATAGAGGAAAAGACTAAGCAAATGGGACTACATCAAACTAAAAAGTTTCTTCACAGCAAAAGAAACCATCAACAAAATGAAAGAAAATCTACAATATGGGACTCATCTTATCAATGATACATCTGATAAGGGATTAATCTCCAAAATAAATAAAGAACTCATACAACTCAACAAAAGGAAGACAAACAATCCAATTAAAAAGTGAACTTCACTCGTCATCTGAGATGCCAATTAAAACTACAAAGAGGTATCATCTCATACCTGCCAGAATGGCTACCATCAATAAATATACAAACAGTAAGTGCTGGCAAGGATGAGGAGAAAAAGGAACCCTTGGACTCCGCTGGTGGGAATGCAGACTGGCGTAGCCACTATGGAAAACAGTATGGAGCTTCCTCAAAAAATTAAAAAGGGAACTGCCATTTGACCCAGTGATCCCACTTCTAGGAATATATCCTAAAAAGACAGAAACACCAATCAGAAAGAATACCTACATCCCTATGCTCACGGCAATTTACAATAGCTCACAGTTATTTACAATAGCTAAGATCTGGAAACAGTCCAAGTGCCCATCAGTACATGAGTGGATAAAAAAGATGTACATTTACACACGGAATACTATGCAGCTGTAAGAAAAAGAAGGATCTCTTACCCTTTGAGCCAGCATGGAGGAACCTGGAGATTATCATGGGAAGTAAAATAAGCCAGGCAGAGAAAGACAAATATCACATGATCTCACTTATATGGGGAATCTAATGAACAAAATAAACTGACAAACAAAAATAGATCCAGAAACATGGAAGCAGTAACAGACTGACAAATCTCAGAGGGAAGGGGAAGAAGGGGTGGCGGGAAGAGATTAACCAAAGAACTTATATGCATATATGCATAGCCCAGGGGTGGGCAAACTTTTTGACTCGAGGGCCACAGTGGGTTCTTAAACTGGACCGGAGGGCCGGAACAAAAGCATGGATGGAGTGTTTGTGTGAACTAATATAAATTCAAAGTAAACATCATTACATAAAAGGGTACGGTCATTTTTTTTTTTAGTTTTATTCATTTCAAACGGGCAGGATCTGGCCCGCGGGCCGTAGTTTGCCCACGGCTGGCATAGCCCATAGATACCAACAATAGTGTAGTAAAGGCCTGGAGCCAAATGGGGGTACAATGAGTGAAGAAAAGGGGGAACATCTGTAATACTCCCAACAATAAAGATACATTTTTAAAAGTTTTAAGTTCCAAACTTAAAATACAGAAAATGTGAGTCCAGTCTCTAAAAACCATACAAAAATATGTTTAAAGAGCTATTCAATCTTATTTATATAAATTGAAGGTTCCAACTTACCATCTAGGAAATACCCCATTCTCCAAACTTGTTGTTTGGCTGCGTCGCCAACGTCTCTGGTAGCTGCTGGCACAACTTCGGGTAAGTGAGGAATTTGGGGAGGGAAATGGCGTAATAAGCAAGCTGCTGAGAGATGCTGTCAAATCAGAATAAGAACAAGTATAATGTGTAAGTCAATTACAACTAAGCAAAAGGACAAATTTCTTTTTAACAAATTTAAGAGCAGGGACTCAAATTTTCCATTTTGCTTCATGAGTCTCTAAAATTTTCATTTAATAATATAACTGTTGGAGCAAGGACTCAGAAGAGAAAAATCATATTTTAAGTGTGTTGGCAAGAGAATCTGAGACAATCCCTCTTGACATGCTTATCCCCAGCCCCACCCAGGAAGAAAATGCTACTGTGAAACAAAGCGTTATCTCTTATTTCTTTGGCCATGAGACTACCCTCTAGCTTAGCTGAACCCTTAGTCCTTAAATTAAAAGAAATATGATGTGATTCAATTTTAATGTTGTAGTTGGATTTTAAGAACAAAACTGTATTTGAAAGTAAGTGTCTAAATGTCATTTAAAGATGTCACTTAAAAGTATTCATGGATAACTTGTGCATAGGTAGTCAAGCTTGTAAATGTTTGGCTACTTTTAATAAGAGTCTGGACTATACCTACCAAGTTCCAAAAGAAGCGGTAAATCCTATCACCTGCTCTCTAGAGCATCCTAATGGTTGACAGACACATTCCAATAGAGGCCATTCTGATGATAATTACTATAATCCCATAACTGGGGATTATTCTCTTCTAAAGAATCTGCAATCTAGAAGTTCTATTTCTTGCCTAGGTGTAATAAACTACAACTCTATTTTTCCTTGGGCTAGGAATGATCCCCTCCTTCCCACTTGATCCACAGAGAAAAAGACATTAAGGGCTTGCTTTTCATTTAGCAATATTTTTAGGTTGCCATCTTTACGATTATAACCACATACTGAAAATTTATAAAGTAATCTAAAACAGGAAATTATTATGATCATCTATGAAAAGGTACATGCCACATGATAGGTCATGTTGGATATCAGGACTGAAAACTAAGAGATTTACCTTATAAAGATTTGTTTATCTGAATTCTCTGACAAATTCACTGATAAAGGGAAGAGGCCTTAACTACCATGCAAACATCTGAACCACCAATGAATTAATTCCTTTCTTGAAAGATCACATTTTATCAATTGGTATTACAAAACTTTGTAAACTAATATAAGACTGGGTATGTATAACAAATGTAGGTAGGTATGGGTTCAGTGAAAAAACAAATGCTACTCTAAATTTTGAAAAGCTATGTTTTACTAAATTCTGAAATTAAAAATAACCTTATTAGAAAAAAGAAAATACACCATTAACTTAAATGGCATACGTGAATTTAATGGCTTGAAGAAGCCTTACGGATCAATCTAGCTAGTCCCTTCAATTTATAACCGAAGAAAATGAAGTATAAAGATATGAATTTCTCACCTCTAAAATGCTGGATAAAATAATGAGTTAAATTATAGCCACAGAAGAAAAAACTATATAATATAGAAGCAAAGGTATTAAGAGAAATATACTCTCAATTAGTTCCAAAGAACAAAAATATAGAATTTGAAATGAAAGGTGAGATTAGAAAGATGTAGACTTTTCATATTAGATTAGTGTTTCTCAGCTCTAGCTATCCATCAGAATTAGGTGCTGAAGTTTTTCATGTTGTTTTGTTTCTCAAATACAGATGCCTAACACTTTTTCTAGGCTAAATCAGTGTTCAGGCATCTGAAGTTTTTTTTGAAACTTCATTTTTCTAATGCAAATGTAGGGATTACAATATATGGTTAATTTTGGACTTCCCATCTACACTCAAAATTGAATTGTAATCAATTTGGATAGCAGGGACATATGTGACAACACTATGGATTACCACAGTGATTAAAGTTTCTCACACCTAACAATAACTTAAAGCCTAAGCTTATTCCTTCTTTCACTTATGCTGATCTCTGAGCCCTGACAGACATTTTTCCTTTTAAATGGAATATCCTTCTTCCATGCCTTTGCCTGGATAATGCTAATTATTTTTCAAGACATAATTCAATTATTATCCCTCTGTCCCTTGCCCAGGCTGTTAGGTTCCCTTTATCTGGGGCTAGCACAGAATTCATCACATAATGAACCATTACAGATTTGTCCTGACTTTTCTCTCATTAGACTCTGCTCCTTAAGGCAGACTCTGGACTTTTTTTTTTTAAGCCTCACCTTGTTTCAACAAAAGTTTGTGAGACAAATTTTGGGAGAGTCTACATTTGGGGGGGGGAAAAAGTGTAACATTAGTTCAAAATGCTTAAGTCATTCTGGGCAAGACATAGTCTAACCATTTAAACTCTAGTTAGGAGCAAGCAGATACAAGCAATGTGATTTTCTACTATACTATCTAAGCAGTCTCTTGAGCAATGCTTTTTTTCTTATACGGCTAAACCTAAGCTAATGTACATTGATCTCTAGGCCAAGCATGTCAAACTCACGGCCTACAATGAATATTTTTGTGGCCCAGCCAATATAACGGTATGTGAAAAATGTTTCAATAAAAATTTCTTAATTTTTACATCTTGTTATACATAATTATTAATAACGACTACAACGTTCTCTAATGACTGATTACTATATTTATGTTGCATTCATTTCCCTTACACAGCGCAAGTGCACTATTTCTCTCCACTAATACTAGCAGCGAATATTTTAGCAGCCAATTGCCACATCATTAGTATTGTACTGACTTGTTTGGTGCGCGCAATAGGAAATATTTCGCTTTTGGAGAACAAGAAAAATAGGTTTATTTGCGTTACGCTTATTAATCTGTGCAGTTATATTCAGTGTCTGGTAAGTTAATGTTCAAGAAAAAATATTAATTTTAATTAGAATGTTCTATTATTTTACGTTAATGATGACTTTTATTTCAGCCCTTTGCATTCAGCATGTCTCTATTGAAATAAACCTACATTTCTATGACAACTGAAGCTTTTGGTGGTTTTTTTTTGAGGCCCACATAAACTTAAACCTTGTTTATTTGGCCCATGTTAGCCTTTGAGTTTGACATGCTTAATCTAGGCCATGCTCCACCAAGAACGTTTAATAATGTAAGTGAAATATTTTAAATTTAATATATTTCTCTCTACTGTTTCTAAAATTCTCTTGTAATATCAATATAACAAGCTATATACATAAAATTAAAGAATAAAGGCAAAGATAAAAAAGAAAATCAATGTCAGCTAACAATTATCTCATAAAAAAATTGAGTTAATACATAAACCTGGCATTACCAGAGCGTGCTATGCCACTGTCTCTGTCCTCATTCAACTCTCTTCCAGGCATGTCCATTGGGTTGCTGTGAACTGTGAATCAAGACAAAACTGTCAGTTATAAAATATACTGCTATTCAAATTGACGATGTTCCTTTTAAATAGCAAACTCAATCATGCTCATCTCATTGCATTCCTTTATTTTTTCAATAGCATGGCACAAACCCAACACCAAGAGCTATTACTCAGCTGAACAAGCTTTAAGATCTATATTATGATTTGACATACAATATGAAAATAGTCTATAATATTATAAAGCAAGGGTGACTAAAGTATTTTAGAAGCATATTCAACGACATAGCAAGATATTCACAACATAGTATTAAATTTTATGAAAGGAAGCTACTGAACAGTAAGAATGGTGACTGCTGGGCATATGATAGTTCACTTTATTATTCTGCCTGTAACAATTTGTTTAAAAATATGCACAATAAAAATTTTAAGAAAACTATTTGAATAGTATGGTCCCAACTTTGTTTTAAAAAAGGGGGGGGGGCGGTTATTCCTGACTGACAGATGGTTAACATTTTTTGCCTATTGTCACATTTCCCAAATTTTCTATAACAAATATGTACTGTTCATATCTCATATTTGTACGGAAAATAAATATTAATTAAAGTAAGAAATTGAATAGTTTCCTAAATACTGAAACATGAACACACTCACTCTACAATGATATAAACAAATATGCTCATATGCCTTCTACAGAACAATTATAATGATGCTTGTTCGTCTAAATCTTAGCTCTAAGAGAATTCATTCTTATTAGTGCAGATCAGAAGTTTTACAATAATAATAAGATATGATATTTTCTGCAATTGGTGAACTATGGTTCAAAAGCTACTCAGCCATGGAAACAAGATAGTATCACATTAGAAATTCTGAGTTATAATATTTATACTAAATTTTGGTTTCGAATTCTAAAGTTAAAGTCATTATTACATAATGAGATAATAAGTGACAAACACTGAAATTCATAACAATGTCAATTCCACTGATAAAAGTTTCTGGAAACTTTAAGAACATATTCAGTAGAAATAAATTATGTTCTTGTACTTTCTAAGCAATATTTTCTTAACCAAACCCTCTATAACAGCGGTTCTCAACCTGTGGGTAGCGACCCCTTTGGGGGTCGAACGACCCTTTCACATGGGTCGCCTAAGACCATCAGAAAACACATATATAATTACATATTGTTTTTGTGATTAATCACTATGCTTTAATTATGTTCAATTTGTAACAATGAAATTGGGGGTCACCACAACATGAGGAATTGTATTAAAGGGTCGGGGCATTAGGAAGGCTGAGAAACACTGCTCTATAACTATATTTATTTACTCTCTTGTTTCCACAGCTTAACTACAGATTCTAGCCACTGGATCACACCAACTAGTCTACCCACACAGCACATCGCAAACCTGCAAAGAAAGAGGCGCTCCTGATCAGGCGGAGCGGACCCTGTTCAGAGAATGCCCGCCTGGGGCTGCAGAACTGTGAAAGACCTACATGGCAAAAATGTAAAATACATGTGAAAGAGAGCTGTTAGAGAAGCTGCAGTGCATCAGGAATAAAAGGTGAGCTAAAGCAGCACAAAAGCAGACCAACATATATGAATAGAAACTTTTAAACTAAGTTTAAATAATTCTAGTTGGCTTCCCTTTTTTGAAACAGGATGGTTTCCCTCTGGTCATGGCAAACATAATTTCATGCCCATTTACTAATAAATTTGTATAAAATAAAAAAATAAACTACTACTACATAAGGTAAAAATTATTTTAAATGTTCCATGCTTTCTAATATAAAACAACCTTTTTTTAATTTGTTGGGGTGACATTGGTTAATAAGGTCATACAGGTTTCAAGTGTACATTTCTATGATGCATGATCTATATATTGCATTGTGTTCACCACCTAAAAAATCTTTTTAAAGAGCCAAAAAAGCACAGTAATGTTATCTGTATAAGTTGGCACTTGCCAAATAAATTTATCTTTTTAAAAGTCAGTTTTAAAATGACAGTTATCTTGCAATGGCAGTAAGGAGAAACCACCTAAATGCTTGGCTTAGAAAACAAAACACAACACATACAACAAAGAACAAATACAGAAAAGGAATCTATTGACAAATTAAGTATAAAAATAGTTTTTTCTAACCTAGTAATAAATTACAACATAATGGAAGAAACCAAACTTCCTAGACTAGGAGGAGTCAGCCACTAAGGAAGCAGGTCACCAATACAGCCTGTCAGTCAGGGCCAGACTCCAGGCTGTTCAAAAAACTTGGCAACTACAGACTTGACCAAGAGAAAATTATAGTCTAAAAGACCCAAAAAGAGAAACATTTACAGTCTGGAAGAAAGCAGCTGGGTTACCTGTTAAGTTACTCTTTTTAAAAAATATATTTTCTTATTGATTTCAGAGAGGAAGGGAGAGGCAGAAAGAGACAGAAACATCAATGATGAGAGAGGATCACTGATACTGCCTCCTGCATGCCCCACATTGGGGAACGATCCTGCAATCCCGGTACATGCCCTGACTGGGAATCGAACTGTGACCTCCAGGTTCGTGGGACAGGGCACCTGTTACTTTTAATCAAGATGGCCTAAATAGTCACCCAGGAGATTTACCTAGGATAGAATAGGGAACTTTCTATCTAAAAAGTGACAAATGTATCTTTCAAATTGCTAACAGATATTTTTCCATAACAAAAATTTCTACAATTATAGTACATATGCAACAATTCTTTCATGTTTCATTGTTCAGCTTTCTTCAGTTCTCCCTTCAAAATGTATCTGCTCTCTTTAAACTCCTCCCCTGCCTGCCTCTTCCTTAGTCTCAGCATACGACTGTCTCCTACAGTCATATGAGACGCATATGTATGTAGGCACACACAGAATGCACCAGATGAGAACTCTTTTCCTACCAACCTACCTCCAAACTTAATCAAATTCTCCCCTATTCTTGCCCCCTTCATGCCTGAGCAGTAATAATAGGTAACATTATTCAAACCTTACTATGTGCTAGGGACTTATTCAGTGAAAAATCCTGAGAGGTCCTTCCTTACCTCCCTTCCAAAACTAACTTTTCTAAATCAGCCAGGACCTTCAAAAATCTTATTTGGCCAAATATCACCTTTATCTCTAATCTCATTCTCCTTTCCATCAACATTTAAACACAGTCAAAACTCTTCTACCTTCTCACCATATATCTAATCCTATAGTTCCATAGTTCTTAACAGATTTCGTACCGCTCAGTTTTCTCGTGTTTCGCGCGCCATCTGTTAAGGACCGCTCACGAGTGTTCTCGTGTTTCATACCCATGGAAAAAGGAGCGAATCTAGATACTTGTGTAAATTTTGTTTGGTCCCTCTTCATAGAGGAAAATGTTTTACACAGTACCATACGTTAAAAAAGTACTAGGAACTTTAATTGTTTAAGTAAATAAAAATGTTATAATTATTGAAAAACAACACCTAAAGTGCATTATGATGATTTAAATAACATGCAGCTTGCCCAAAAACGTGCGGTCCCTGGCGTATGTCTTAGAGATTTCTATGCGGTACGCAATGTGTTTTAAAATGTGGTCTAAAGACCCTGAGGAAGTCCCTGGAACACTTTCAGAGAGTTGGGGAGTACTTCCCATTCCAACTACATGGTTTTTTTTTGAGACTGGATTTTCTTAATGCACTTCAACCAAATCAACATATCACAAAAGACTGAATACAGAAGCAGATATGAGAATCTAGCTTTCTTCTAGTAAGTCAGACATTTAGGAGATTTACAAAAATGTAAAACAATGCCACTCTTCTAACTCAATTATTTTTGTCTTGGAAAATAGTTATTTAAAAACATGTTATTTACATTAACATGAAAAGGGTTATTAGTGTTATTTTTTCATGAATTACTAAATAAATATTTTGAAATTTTCTGTTTTAGTTTCTAATACAATATATATCAACAAATGTGACCAATATAAACAAAAATTCTCTGTGGTCCTCAATAATTTCTAAGTTTTTAAAAGGATCCCAAGACCAAAAATTTGAGAACCACTGCTTATATCTTGGAAAAGAGACTAACTTCTGAGTCTCTCCTAAATTCTGAAACTGTTCACATATGCCACCAAAAGCCTTCCTGTTGCTTAATGCAATCCATACTATCTTGTATTACCTTACAGTGCATTTGATGCCGACTCCCACGAACTGTAAATCCACTGAGGTAGAAACTATGTCTGGTTTACTACTATATCCTCATGGCCTAGCAGAGTGCTCGGCATAAAATAGTACTTGATAAGTATTTGTTAATTAATGGGAAATATTAAGAAAATAAGAAATGGTGCTCAAATATTCTTGATTCACCGTCAGAATGTACAAATAAAAGCTGTTCAACATTTAAAGTCTGTACTCTGTTAAATTTCCTATTCTATAACAGAGAAGATGAGTATATCTAGCACCTATTGTATTTAGTATAATTACCTTTATACTAGTGATAATGAATTTGTATGAGTAAAATATATAGCTTTTAATAAGCCCTTTGAGCTTTGAAAAGTGTCAATTATAAAGAAAAAGATTCAGTCATTTCCTTGTCACATCTTTACTTTGTTAAAGCCAAAGAAATAATCAAATTACGAAAAAGCAGAACTTTTTTTCTATAAAATATACACACTTTGTGAAGTGCATGCCTGACACTATATCCCACAGTGGGTGCTTAATAAATGGTTGCTCATTTGAATGAATTATAGAATGTTATACTGTTCAAGTTGGAAGAAAAAAACTATTTTCTACCAATTCATGTAACTAACACATATTTATTTAAATTAATTATAAATAAAAATTATCACTAAACAGGGAAGAGAGAAATATTCACTCTACTCTAACTGCTGTCTACTCTGACATACTGCAGTTCTCTATTCACTGGAAATAGGGTCAGCAGCAATTTAGCTGTTTTCCAGGCTAAAGCAAGTGACTAGAAATGTTAGAAACAATTTGTCACTTTGCAATGTTTAACTTAAATAATTATAACAATCAACTAACCAAATTACTAAATAAGTTGTTACTCCAATAAATCTTTTAAGGAACATCAACTTTGAATATCTTCTCATCTGAATTACAGGTCAAAATGAGTACCATTCAAAATTAACTTTTATTGTTAGGGAAGAGAGAAAGGAGAAAATATAATTAATACCAGACTTCCTCAGATGGTTTTTCAAAGATACATCAAACTTAAAAACAAGTTTGATAGATACAAAATAAACATTATGCTCAAATATATGAAAATTATATTTTCCAAATAATAAAGATATAATATATACTTATAATTTAAAAGCCTTTTCCACTTATAGTATTTGAAACTCTTTGGTCTTATAAAAAATCTACATTAACAAGAAAAAACTACATATCCCTGTTATACTGTTCACATTTTTAAAACTTACAAAACCAAAGGAACCACTTATTTACCTATATTTCCAAGTAGTCCATTAATAACTGTGTTACTGTCAGCCTTTAATGTACTGTTATCCTGATTGATGAATTCAAGACTATCTTGCAACCTAAAGGGAAGAAGAAAAAAATATAAATTCCAAATTCATTATATGCTCCTAAATGGCCCTTCCTTGAATATCCTAATGAAATTTTAGTGTGTAACAGTTTTTTAAATTTCCCTATTAGTACTAGAAACGAACTAATAATTTTAATCATCCTAAGGGCTAAATCCAGTCTGCTGCCTGATTTTGTAAATAAAGTTTTAATGGAACACAGCCACATCCATTCATTTATGCATTGCATATGGCTGTTTTAATGCTACAATTGCAGAGCTGAGAAATTACAACATACTGTCTGGCTCACAAAAACAAAAATATTTACTATCTTGACCTTTATAGAAAAATATTGCTGACCCAATTTAAATTACAATCTTTCCTCTCATATTTTGACCCTGAAAATATTTTCTAAACTTCTGTCAGGATTAAAAAAGAAAATAAAAAAAGAGAATCAACCAAATATCCAAAAAGTATCTCTAGTCCACACATTATAAACGGCCTATATTACTTCTTTTAGTAAATTATTCAAACAACAAAAATAAAATCACTTTCTGCATTTAATTCAAAGTATTGTTCTTTGGTATTTTAAGAAATATTAATTAGAACTTAGAAAATATATAGGAACTGAGGGAATTACAGTTAAAGTCAGTCATGACAATGTAGGATCTCTAATTTCTAGTTTAGTATTAAACTCTTAAAAATCAGTACCTCTGGCATCCATCTCTCTCTATATATAAAAGGCTAATATGCAAAATGTCCCCTTGGGAGTTCAACTGCTCACTATGACATGCGCTGACCACCAGGGGGCGGCGAAGAATGAAGGAAGGCCCCAGCTGGCAGCTGGAAGGCCCCGATCAGCCCTGATTACTGGTCAGGCCTAGGGACCCTTACCCATGCATGAATTTCATGCACCGGGCCTCTAGTGATAGTATAAAAAAAAAATCTTTCCCTTTCTTTCCTAAAAGTTAAGTCTTTGTAAAGTATTGACAATAAATAGCTCTTAAGAATGGCCCTCGTTCAGAGTTGGCTTCTGGCTATCTCTTGCTGCTTTTGACTTGGGTACCCCGATGGTTTCTGATCTGCAACCTGCAAAATCCCTCCCTGGGGTCCACTACCACTTCGTGCTAGCCCCAGTCCTTCATTAATAGGTTCTGGCATGTAGCCCATTATCCTAATACTAGGGGCCCAGTGCATAAAATCGCACGAGACCCATGACCCAGAGTCCTGTGGCTCAGCAGGACCCAGAAAGAGTCCTGCGGCCGCCACCGCCTCAGGAGGCGAGACCCAGAAACCCGCCCACACCTCCAGTCAAGTCCTCCAGAGTCAAGTCCCTGCCCACCCGTGCGTACCTCACCACACACAGTCCCGCCCACCCCACTCATGCAGCCTCCTGCTGATCGGGCGTTACGGCATGACAACCATAGGCTTTTTATATAACAGATCAGCTTCACTATTCTAATCTTGGTAATAATAACTTGTAATATCCTTGTGCCCCACCATATGGCTGGCCTAGGTCACTCCTAATTGCAGGGTTAATGTGCAGGGGGATCTAAAAACTGAAGAGCACAACCTCCACATGCACTGCAAAATGGAAAATCAGCATATCAACGTAACATGGAAATGCATTCAACATTTTACTTCCAGATATAGCTCCAAGCAAATTAGAGAAAGAGAAATCACATTTCCTGTTCTTCAACTAAACTCAAATGAGGAAGCAATCTTGCCTCCAAACACAGAGTGGCTGGATGGATAAAAAAAAACAAGAGCCAACAATATGCTGCCTACAAGAGATTCACTTCAGCTGTAGGGACACACATAGGCTCAAGGTGGTGGGGTAGAAAAAGACATTCTATGCAAGTGGAAACCAAAAGAGAGCAGGGGTAGCTGTATTTATGTCAAACAAAACAAAATGTTTTTGTTTACCAAAAAACGGTAAAAAGAAACAAAGATGGTCATACAAAAAGGAGTCAATTCATCAAGAAGATATAGCTATCATAACATCAGAATATCTAAACATATTAAGCAAATACAATCAGATCCAAAGGAAGAAATAGACAACAATGCAATAGAGGATTTCAATACCTTACTCTCAATACTGGATAGATGATCCAGACAGAAAACCAACAAGAAATACAGACCTGAACCATGCTTTAGACTAAATGGCACTAACAGACACATACAGCATATTCCATTCAATAGCAGTGGAAAACACGTTCTTGTCAAGCACACACGAAACACTCTCCAGAACAGGTCACACGATAAGTCACAAAACACGTCTCAGCCAATTTTAGAAGACTGACATCACACCAAGTATCTTTTCTGACCTTAGTAGATGAAAACTGGGGGAAAAAAATAGAATGAAAGCTGGAAAATTCACAAATATGTGGAGATTTTAAAAAATGCTCCTAAACAACCAATGTATCACAGAAGAAATACAAAAGAATATCAAGAAATATCTTGAAACAAATGAATATGAAAGTATGCATATCAAAACATGGGATGCTGCAAAAGCAGTTCTAAGAGGAAAGTTTATAGCAAAAAAAATGTCTACATTAAAAAGCAAGAAATATCTCAAATAAACAATTTCACTGTACACCTCAAGGAACTAGAAAATAACAAACTATGTCCAAAAGTTATCAAAAATAAGGAAACACAGTAAGTGTCCACTTAACTTCAATAAGTTCTGCAACTTTAAGCAAAATGATTTATAATGAAACCAATTTTACCACACAGGCTAATTGATAGAAACAAGAGTTCGGTTCTTACAGAATCTCATCAATGTTATAGTAAAACAACATTGACCAAAATGACGTTATTCAAGCACCTGTTATTAACGAAAATCAGAGGGGAAATAAATAAAAGAGACCAGAAAAATAATAGAAAATATCAATAAAACTAAGAGCTGGTTTTCTGAAGAGATACACAAAGTTGACAAGTCTTTCACTAGACTAATTTGGAAAGAAAGAGAGAGGCGATTGTGTGATTGCAGGGGTGGAGGTGGAAGAGAGCATAGAGGGGACAAATGGTGATGGAAAAAAATAATATAAAATAAACACTTTGAAAAGTCACTCTGCTTCAAAAACGACACAATAGCATCAAAAACAATCAAATAGGAAGAAATTTAAGAAAGGAGGTAAATGATCTCTACAATGAAAACTACAAGCCTTTCTTGAAAGAAACTGAAGGTGACACAAACAAATGGAAAAATACCCCATGTTCATGAATCAGAAGAATGAACATTGCTAAAATGTCCCTATTATCCAAAGCCATCTATAGATTCAATGCAACCCCTAACAAAATTCCAGTGGCATTTTTCACAGAAATAAAATTTTTAAAAAACCTTAAAATTTGCAGAGCCTGGCCTGTGTGGCTCAGCGGTTGAGCATCAACCCATGAACGAGGTCATCACAATTCGATTCCCAGTCAGGGCACATGCCTGGGTTGTGGGGTTCCATCTCCAATGGGGGCAGCCCATCAATGATTCTCTCTAATCATTGATGTTTTTATCCCTCTCTCCCTTTCCCTTTCTCTCTGAAATCAATTAAAAAAATTTTTTTAAAAAGTTGTATAGAGCCACAAAAGACCCTGAATACCCAAAACAATCTTGAGAGGAACACAGCTACAAGCATCACACTTCCTAATTTCCAACTAGACTACAAAGCTACAGTACAGTAATCAACAGTATGGTACTAGCATAAAAATAGACACATAGAACAATGGAACGAAATTGAGAGCCAAGAAAAAACTCACATTTACAGGGTATGGCAAAAATTGGTTTATAGTTGTGAGTATGGGAAGTGGAGTTTATTCTTGTATTATTATTTATTAATTAGTATATTATTTTCCATACTAATAATTATATTAAACCTACTTTTGCCTCACCTTGTAAAGCATGCAGATTATAGCTAATAATACTGTATTATATACTTAAAAGTTGCTAGGAGAGTACATCTTTAATGTCCTTACCACAAAAAATAAATGCAAGTATGTGATAGGATAAAGGTGTTAGTGCTATGATGGTAACCATTTTGCAATGTAAATGTATCAAATCAACACCATATATACCTTAAATTTACACAATGTTTTATATCTGTCATAGCTGGGGGGGAAATCTGGTTTCCATAAACTTTCAAACTTAAGGGAGCAGTCTGTTAGTTTCATATTCTGCACACCTTAAATAATTCATTTCTCCCTGTATCCATAACCACTTACGTATTAAGACTCCCACAGATGCTGCTGCCAGTCCTTGCAGTAAAAACTTTGCTAAGCATAAGCTGTGGAGGGGAACTAGGAAAAAAAAAAGAGAGAGGAACACAGAGAGATCAAAACTAGAACACAAGAACCTTCTCAATTTATTATAAATAAAAAATGTATAACTCAGAGAGATTTCACAGCAGTCACAACAGCCATGAAGCAGAATTAAACCTACAGAAAATTATAAATTGAGAAATCTGACATTCTCAATCTGAGTGAAGACTATATGAAAATTCATTCATCTTAAAAACTATTAACTATTCTAAATGGATTCATTAAGAAAAAAATCAGAAAATCCCTTACCGGATCTGATGAATTTTTAAGGTGGATCCTTTGTAGCTCATTGCTACTGAGCCAAACATCATCTCTCCAAGCATATTGGCATCAGAAGAGCACCGAGAGCCCTAAACAATAACCATACATTAATAAAATTGTAAGATTTAAAACCCTATGACTATTTCAAATATTTTTATTAAAAATTCCTTTGCTATAGTTCTACATAATGGTTTTTAAGTGATTCTATGCTGTTGTGCAGCTTGATTTTCTTCATTTCACAATGTCTTATAGATCTAACCATATCGCTGTACATGGATTTCTTTTAAGAGCTGCACAGCATTCTACTGCATGAAAATACCAACATTTATCAAGTCAGCTCCCTTTACTGATGGGTATTTAGGTCATTTCTAGATTTTTGCTATTACAAATAATGCTCAAATGAGCATGAATAATCACATCTTATGCATATGCAATGTTTCTCCAGGAGAAGTTATAAAAACTGGAATTCATAGAACTTGTAGAATAACTTTTACCACTCCTACAAAAATAGGCATTCATAAATGGGGTAATTGTGTCTATTTTTTTAAAAAGGACTTATTTGAAACATTAAAATGTCTTGTTTTTGAAGAACTGATCAAAAACTTATTCCTTTCCATTTTTCTTTAACTGTCTTCATAGGAGTCAGAAAAAAAGCTAAAAATTGAACTCATCCATTTGGTCATTATTTAGATACTATGGCAAATATCACTAATTAACTATCAAATATCTATTCCTTATATTCTGAAGTGCTATTTGTTTCAGGGCAGCACGTGCCCTGAAAAAAACAAACAAATGCATTTCAGAGCTGCCTCTATAAATAGGAGATTTAAGGTTGGTTTCTATATTCAATGGGTAAGACTAATGGCTAGAGCAGCAGCTTTCAGAACTATCCACTTACAGGCCTGGTCAATGAGATAAAAATGGAAGTCACTGGAGACAGAGATGCCACATTAGAACAACAAGGCAACAAGTACACATTAATTCTGTCTAGGCAGAAAGATAAGGAAGTTTTCGTTATCTTGAAACCCATATGTACCATACTTCTTGTCATGTAAGAAAAAAAATCCTTAATTTGCTTAAGTCGCTGTTATAGAGGGTGTCCCAACCCAATTCCTAACTGATTTATATAATAACACAATGAGGAAGATGACATTAATAATATAATAAATGATGATTATTCACAAATTTTACTAAAACCATTATATTGTGGAAAAATCAAGAATTTGAAGTTTTAAAAAAATTCTTAACAATCATTCACTACTTTAGGGTTTCTGAAATCTGAATCCATTCGCTAAAATTCATTTTTCACTGCATAATATCAGAAAGGCAAGTTTGCACAACTGGTCAAATTAGAAAATGTCCAAATTAGCATACATATGAAGATGTATTTATAGCACAGCACTATTAGGAAATTGTTAAGGTATTCTGCTAACGGTGAAGAAGGAATATGGGAGGACAGGAGGAACTATGTAGTACCTCCTAATATCTGAACTTTAATAACTTCAGAGTTCTTCATATAATTCTGTCACATTGATTTGGTATAAGGGCCAGTTTCCATCCAAACATAATTATCTAATTACAAACAACTAAAAAGCCCAGTATTCCATTTTGGTACCCCTAAATATAAAATACTTGTCACTCATTCATGCAAGCTTGGCTGACACAAATAAATTCACATTTGCTTAGTATGATACCAAATACTGATCTTTTGTAAAATATAGCAAGTTCATAGAGAAGTTCCTATGTAGTTACTTATTTGTTTAATTCTGTTTGCTAATCCTCGCTCGAGGATATTTTTCCATTGATTTTTAGGGAGAGGGGAAGACAGAGAGAAACATCTATGTGATAGAAATACACTGATTGGTTGCCTCCTGCACAAGTCCCAACCAGGGCCCAGGCCGGGGAGGAATCTGCAACCAAAGTACATGCCCTTGACCAGAATCGAACCTGGGACCCTTTGGTCTGCAGGCTGACATTCTATCCACTAAGCTAAACCGGCTAGGGCAAATTCTGTATTTTTAAGTGTCATAATAGTTTTCAAAAATAAAAAATGCACATTTCTAATTGTATATACTTCAAATCATACTTTAATTTCATACTATAGCTGAACTGTATAATTATTTTATATTTATCTTCATATTTTAATAATTAAAAAGTATATAAAATAAGAAATTATTTTGGTAGCCCCACCAAAAAATGCTGAAGTGGAAAATAAAGGGTAAAGAAAATACCCCTGCTGCCTATGCCTATAGTTCTCTGTACTTCCCCTACCCTAAGATTTATCTAAGTACATAAACTTACTTGTTTAATTATCTGCCTCCCCAACTATAAGGTAAGCTTCAGGAGGGTAAAACTAGTCCATGTTATATCCCAATCCCTAGAATAGTGCACAACATATTGTAGGTACTCAAAAATATTTATGAATGAATAAATGACATCAGTGATCTTACCTGGTACTTAGGACACTGTTCTTTTACATCAGAAGATGAAGTACTAGAACTATCCAAAGAAGAAGAACTGTCTCCTCCAGGTTTCAGTTGGCAGCATTTCCCAAACACTTTAACTTGAGCATCACTACAGAGTTTCTGAAATTATAGATATTATCCCCATTTATATTTTAACTGATTTTTAACCATACATGAATCTAATTATAGCATAAAAACCTTTGCAAATCCAAACATGAAATAATTCAAAATACTATAACCTTAATGTAATGACTATTTGCATTTTACCGTATTCTCTCCAATACTGTTTACTTTTCTTTATGTCATTAACTATAATTACTTGTGGAGTTTGTATCTTACTTTTCTCAACAACGTTATATCACTAGAAGTCGGGTGCACGAAATTCATGCACGGGGGGGGGGGGGGGAGGGAGTGCGGGTCCCTCAGCCTGGCCTGTGTCCTCTCACAGTCCGGGAGCACCACGATTGATCGCCCAAAAGAGGTCGGCCCTGCCCACCCAGCCAGGGCTCCTTGATGCCTCCTCCCAGCAGAGGGAGGCCCTGTCCACCCGCTGCAGCCTGCCAGCCAGTGGCCTGGGTCACCCTCTTCGGGGCAATAGTGGAGTCCCCTCCCCCCGCACCAATTGGTCAATAACCCTGCCAGCTGGTGGCCTGGGCCTCCCCATGCAGGGAGATCATGGGGCGATGGCCGGGCCCCCAACCAATCGCATCGCACCCACCTTGGCTGGCCTGGCGCCAGTGGGTGTCATAGCATGGTCGTCTGGAGGGTCATTCTGCTGTTTGGTTGTTCGGTCTATTTGCATATTATGCTTTTATTATTATAGATTATTATAGATGGGGATCTTTCTATATTACTATGGGCTAGACAATGTTCATTACTAGTGACTTAACAAATATACTATAGCAATTTCAAATTATTTGGCCTCAAAACCCCTTTATGCCCTTAGAAATTATTGAGAACTCCAAAGGTCTTTTGTATGTGAGCTATATCTACATTATTTTCAAAAAAAATTTAAAAATACTTATTAAATCAAACATAATACAACCACTAAAGGTGAACATAAGTAACATATTTTATGGAAAAAATACTTCTGGGAAGAGATGCAGAGGTGGAAGAAAACATGTAAATGAGAGCTGTATATTTCACTATATGTACATACATATAAATTAATCTTTTGAAATAAAAATGTATTGAACAATTGAATTTTTAATAAAATCTAACTTTAGGATCAAAAGGCTTTGTAGTCAAGTATGGAAGAAGAATGTATTTCTATTTCTATTTCTATTTCTATTTCTATTTCTATTTCTATTTCTAGGCTCCAACAGGTTCTTGAATTTTCACTCAGAACCATCAAAGCTGTACCTCACCAAGGTCTGTGATACTCCTAAAAGCATTCCAGTGCTTTATCATAGTTACCAGAATGTCCACTCTTCCATAAAACAGACCTCCAAAGGTTTTCAGAAGGGGGATGAGGGGACATTTCGGGGATAAGGACACATTTGTAATATCTTAATCAATAAAGGGGGGGGAAAAGTAAAAAAAAAAAAACAAAAACAAGAAGTAATGTGACTGACATCACAATTTTTGGAAGACCAATGGCATTGTAAAAGAGAGCATCTGGTAATTCCAAATAATCTCTAATCAAAAATGTAAAGAGAGAGCGTGGTAAAACAAAAACAAGGGCTTTAAAACTAAATAGACGACATTTAAATCCTGGTTCCTTGAACAAGTTACTTGACCTCTCTAAAGCCTTATGTCTTTAATCAGGAGAAAAACCCTACCTAATGACTAGGTTATTTGTAATACTTTTAGGGGTATATATGTGTCTGTGTGTCTCTCATTACATATTTGTACACAAATAAATATATAAAGTGTCCTATACAATGTCTAGACCGAGCATATGCTTACTGATTTGTAGTTATGTTATTAGAAAAAAGTTAAAGTCAAGGCTAACATAACTGAATGCCTACTCTGGAATCAGGAACGTCACTAGATATTTTCATTTATAGTATTTCATTTAAAAACTCACTAAAAATATTGGTATTTTCAGTATTGATATTCTTGGCCACATCGTAATAACTTTGCTACTTATTGATCACCCATAAAATGCTAGACCTTAAGTATATTTTTTATAATACTCAATATGGTAGATATTACAACCCAATTTTACTGATGAGAAACCTGAAGTCCAGGTTAAGTCACTCACCAAGATTACAAGAGCTAGTGAGTCTGTAATATACCTTAGAGTCAAAATCAGTTGGCCTGACAGATCTACTATTACAAACTACCATTTTATTTGTTAACAAAAGCATTTGAGTAGTATGTGTACTGATCATTAGGGAACAGAAATGAATAAAATAGACCCAGTCCTTTTCCTCATAGAACTAACAATCTAAGTGGAAAAAGAGACACTTAACAAATAATTAGACAAAAGTATATATATATGATGAAACATATACTTCAAATATATTTTTAGAAAGTAATAATATTAAAATACCAATGGCATATTTCAAAGATCTAGAACAAACTCTCCAAAAATTCATCTGGAATAAAAAAAAGACCTCGAATAGCTGCAGCAATCTTGAGAAAGAAGAACAAAGTTGGAAGGATCACAAAACCAGATATATCAAGCTGTATTACAAAGCCACTGTCCTCAAAACTGCCTGGTACTGGCACAAGAACAGACATATAGACCAATGGAACAGAACAGAGAACCCAGAAATCAACCCTAGCCATTATGTTCAATTAATATTTGACAAAGGAGGCAAGAGCATACAATGGAGTCAAGACAATCTCTTCAATAAATGAAGCTGGGAAAATTGGACAAATACATGCAAAAAAATGAAACTATACCACCAACTTACACTATACACAAAAATAAACTCAAAATGGATAAAGGACTTAAGTGTAAGACGGGGAACCATAAAAATCTTAGAACAATCCATAGGCAGCAAAATAGCACACATATGTCATAGCAATATCTTTACCGATACAGCTCCTAGGACAATGGAAACTAAGGAGAAAATAAACAAATGGGACTTTATCAAAATAAAAAGCTTCTGCACAGCAAAAGAAACCACCAACAAAACAACAAGAAAGCCCACTTCATGGGAGAATATATTTGCCAACATTATCTCTGATAGGGGTTTAATCTCCAAAATTTATAGGGTACTCATACAAAAGGGAACTTAACAAAAGAAAGATAAACAATCCAATAATAAAAAAAAAAATAGGCAAAGGACCTAAATAGACACTTTTCGAAAGAGGACATACAGAAGGCCGAGAGATATATGAAAACATGCTCAAAGTCACTAATCATCGAGAGATGCAAATCAAAACAACAATGATGAACCATCTCACACCTGTCAGAATAGCTATCATCAAAAAATTGACAACGACAAGTGCAGGTGAGGATGTGGAGAAAAAGGAACGCTTGTGCACTGCTGGTGGAAATGCAGACTGGTGCAGCCACTGTGAAAAACAGTATGAAGTTTCCTCAAAAAACTAAAAATGGAACTGCCATTTGACCCAGTAATTCCACTTCTAGGAATATATCCCAAGAAAACAAGAAACACCAATCAGAAAGGATATATGCACCCCTATGTTCATAGCAGCACAATTTACAATAGCTAAGATTTGGAAACAGCCTAAGTCCCCATCAGCAGATGAGTGGATTAGAAAACTGTGGTACATCTACACAATGGAATACTATGCTGCTGTAAAAAAGAAGAAATTCTTACCATTTGCAGCAGCATGGATGGACCTGGAGAGCATTATGCTAAGCAAAATAAGCCAGTCAGAGAAAGATAAATACCACATGATCTCACTCATTTGTGGAATATAATGAACAACATAAACTGATGAACAAAAATAGAATCAGAGACATAGAAGCATCGAACAGACTGTCCAACCTATGAGGGAAGGCGGGGGGTGAGGTGGTAAGAGATCAACCAAAGGACTGGTATGCATACATATGAGCATGACCAATGGATACAGACAGTAGGGGGTGAGGGTGGGGGTAAGGGCATGTGCTGGTGGGGTGGGAGCCGCCAGGGAGAGGTCAATGGGGGGAAAGGGAGACTCATATAATACTTTAAATAAAGAATTTAAATTTTTTTTTGAAAAGTAATAATAATATTAACTGAGCTAACTCATAGGCACTTATTTTCTGGTCAGGTACTATTTATTCTGTTTTACATATTCTTTTTTTCCTCATAAAAATTCTATAAAGTACATACTATTATCCCCATTTTACAAATAAGTAGTCAAAGAATAATGTTAAAATTAATCATCCAAGAGAGGACTTAATTTAGTCAAGGGAGAGCAAGGAAGTTCCCCTTGATCATTTAAGCTGGGACTACAAACAAAGCATAGGAGTTATGGTGAAAGAGAAGAGTGGGAGGGCTTGAAAGATATTCCAGACTGAAGGAACTATGTATTGTGCACGTCCAATTTCTGAAATAAGAAGGAACTTGCTACAGGGAGAAAAGAAACAAACACACATCAGTTCCAGAACAACACATAAAAAGTATGCATAGAGGTGTACATAAAAGTTCACTCACACTCACACATACTCATACACACACACTTTCTGCGCCCCCCCCCCCATTCTTTCTCCCATAACTCACACACGCACACACACATACCCCTCTTTCGCCCACCAACTCCCCAGTTGTCTGATGTCTTTTCTCTTTCCCATTTTGAACTCATGACTTTTTTCTTGAAACCAAATAACTAGTGGAAGAAGGTCTAGTGAGAGGACAGGGGACAGTCAGCAACCCTTCTATGAGAACAACTGTAGGGCCAAAAGGGTTTCCTTTTCTTATTTTTTTGCTCTTATTCCTAAGGGAAATTATACAACATTTTATTTTTAACCCACAAAAACTAGCAACATGCTACGTAAGAATAAGAAATAAGTTATGAACACTGAGAAAAACATGCCTCTCATTGTCCTTAACATATATTTATTTTATCAACTCTCTTGTATAAAACCACTATCTCATTTCCCCTATCACTCCTCACCTACATGAATGATAGCCATGGTGAATATCCTCCTTATCCCTTTGGGCTTTGATAACCTATTAGCCAACACCTTATGTAGATGCCCTCCTCAATCTACCAGGGCCCTGATGCTCAGCTCTGATCCAACATGTCTCCACCTCCTGACATCAGTGTTCAGCCCTACCTAATAGTTTTAAGACTAATTTAGAAGAGAGAGAAGGGTAGGATAAAGGTAGACATGGGGAATCAGAACTTTTAACCTGGATACATAATCATATTCCATGTTCCAGATTCAGTGTCACAACTGAAATTTAAATAAAAATAACCAGCACTTATAACATATAGTATTTCTATTTATAAAGTATTTTGCATGAATTTTCAACTCTTCTTCTTGTCCTGTTAACTTTTTAAAATTTTAAATTGCATGGAAGTAATGTGTTTACTTATAAAGTTCAAAAGTCAAAATAATGCCCGGCTGGTGTGGATCAGTATTGAGCATTGGCCCATGAATCAGAAGTTCACAGTTCAATTCCCAGTCAGGGCAAATGCCTGGGTTGCAGGTTGCAAGTTCCATCCCAGTAGGGGGACAGGCAAGAGGCAGCCGATCTATGTCTCTCATTATTGATGTTTCTATCTCTCCCTCTTCCTTCCTCTTTCTGAAACCAATAAAAACATATTTTAAAAGGGAAGACAAACAATCTAAAAAATGAGCAAAGGACCTAAATAGACACTTCTCCAAAGTGTACATACAGAAAGCCAAGAGACATATGAAAAAATGCTCAAGGTCACTAATCATCCAAGAGATGCAAATCAAAACGACAATGCGATATCACCGCACACCTATCAGAATAGCTATCATCAACAAATCAACAAATGACAAGTGTTGGCAAAGTTGTGGAAATGAAGACTGGTGCAACCATTGTGGAAAACAGTATGGAGTTTCCTCAAAAAATTAAAAATGGAACTCCCATTTGATCCAGTGATCCCACTTCTAGGAATACTAGAGGCCCGGTGCACTAATTCGTGCATGGGTGGGGTCCCTAGGACTGGCCAGCAATCAAGGCCTATTGGGAAGTTGGCCGGCCGGCCCCCTGATTGGGGCCTATCAGGGGAGCCAGCCAGCAGGGGGTAGGGACCGCAGGAGGTTGGCCGGCAGGGGGTGGGAGGAGGGGCTGCGGGAGGTTGGCTGGCTGGCCCCCACATCGAGGCCAACTGGGGGGCCAGCCAGGGGGAAGGGGCCGCAGGAGGTTGGCTGTGGGAACGCACTGACCACCAGGGGCCAGCTCCTGCATTGAGTGTCTGCCCCCTGGTGGTCAGTGTGCATCATAGCAACTGGTTGACCACTCATTCCGGTTGTTCAGTCATAATGGTCGCTTAGGCTTTTATATATATAGATATCCTATGAAACCCAAAGCACTCAGCAGAAAGAATATATGCACCCCTATGTTCTCAGCAGCACAACTGACAATAGCTAAGATTTGGAAACAGCATAAGTACCCATCAGCAGATGAGTGGATAAAAAAAACATGGTACATTTACGTGGCAATAAAAAAGAAAGAACTTGTAACTATTTGCAACAGCATGGATGGAATTATGCTGGATAGAATTATGCTAAGAGAAATAAGCTAGTCAGAGAAAGCTAAGTATCACATGATGTCACTCTCACTCATATGCATATTCTAATGAACCAAATAAACTGATGAACAAAAACAGACCCAGAGACGTAGAAGCATGCAGAGGGATAAGTGGGGTGGAGGGGGAGAGATCAACGAATGAACTCAATGCATAACCCATAGACACAGACAATAGGGTGGTGAAGGCCTGGGGGAAAAAGGAGAGAGGGCAATGGAGGAAAAAGGGGACATATATAATACTTTCAACAATAAAGATTTAAAAAAGAGAAAGAAAATAAATGTCAACCTAAAATGTCCTATGGTACTAGATTGATGACAAATAAGGCAGTGTTTTTTCCTTTAAAAATCTAAAAATAAGGGCTCTTAATTACAAAAGCATGGCCAAGATGTTTTATACTGACAAACAAAAGCACCATAATTAAAATTTTACTCACTTTTTCCAATTAAAACATGACATTAAATCAATAACAATGCTCACCGATACTGATATGTCTTCATTTTTTCTCTTAACACTGGAGTCAAACAAGACATTTCTTCCTCGTCTTTCACAGTCTTGATATACAATCAGTCGAATCTGGCTTGGATCAAACTCTGGCAAAGGCCAACTTTAAAGAAAAATAAAGATCCATTAGAGTTATTTAATAAATATTCCACATAAATTTCTATAAATAAAACCTATATAACAGCCCTAGCCAGTTTGCAGTAAAACTTTACAGTAAAACTTTTAAAAAGCCACTGCATTTGTCTTATGTACTATTATAATGCATTTATTTCACAATTAAAAAGATTAATGTAATAAGAGAGAGATAGGGAGGAAAGGGAAAGAGAGAAAACAAAAAGCTGTAAATACTAGTCTGGTGAACTGAACACACAACTGATAGGACAGTTGCTAAGAAACAGGAGAACTGCCATTCCAGAGGCTGTTTGTCATTAGTTACATTAGGCTGAATGGTCCATTCCTCACAATCCATTAGTCACAGCTCTTGGTTGGGATTCCTCCTTTCCTTAAGAAAACCTGATCCTTAACCCTATCAATACCTGTCAAGCAAATTGTAACTGGCAACATAAAACATCTTCATCTCAAACTCTTGACAGTATATACAATTTTAGTTTTCTCCTGTCTAATCCTTAGCAAATATCTGTGTGTTTGAAACTAATGAAAGAACCTCCAAGAAACTGAAGCTAAACCACAGAGATTCATCCATAGACTACACTAATTTGCATCCCATTGAACAAAAATCTTACACCTATGGATGAGGACAGTGGCAGGGGTAAGGGCAAGGGGTGGGGTGGGAACCAGGTGGAGGGGAGCTATGGGGGGAAAAAAGAGGAACATCTGTAATAATCTGAACAATAAAGATTTATTTAAAAAAAGAAAAAGAAAAAAGAAATAAATACCCCTGGTCAGTGTGGTTCAGTTGATTGGTCCCATGCACCAAAAGATGGCCGGTTTGAGGGCCAGTTTGATTCCCCATCAGGGCACAGGCCTGGGTTGCAGGCTCCACCCCCAGAAGGGGATCGGGCATGCAGGAGGCAGCCAATCAATGTTTTTCTCTCCTGGATGTTTTTATGTCTCCCTTCCTCTCTCTGAAATCAATAAAAATTTTAAAAAAGAAATAAATATAGTAATTTTGGATAAGTGGTAGATGAAATAAATCAAAACAGAAAATTAACAGATTATGATAGAGGTAGGTGATAGTAAGAAGATAGTATGGAAGTGGAAGAGGTATAGTCACTTTTTAAAGTGCCTATATGGACAAAATTCTGTAGAGAAAGAGAAATTGGGTTTTGCTGGATGTAAGGTCTTTCAACAAATCTTGAATAAGTACACCCTCATTTCATTCATCCAAACCCTAAGACACCCGAAGAATAAAATCAAAATTCCTTTGCTTAGATGTAAAGTTGTTTAAAATCTGGTCCTGCTCTGCCTTTCCAGAATTATTTCATGTTAGCCATGATACCATGGACGTTGGATATGTGAAATTAGGAAAGAGAATGGCTCTCAGTTTTCAGATTTTATTTAAACAGGTATCAATAATAAAGGTAGGGAATACAAGGTGGGGGCGGGGAGGAGAAATTTTGGGATAAGGATGTTAATAGGCTGAGTTCAAAGGGCCTGAGACAACTGCAAAAAGATGTCCAATAGACTGATGACAAGCAATGGTCTTAGAATAAAGGCTGAGCCTAGAATTCTAGACACAGGAGTTACTGACACACATAGTTGATAATGAAATCATTTAGGGAGAACTTATTAATTGAAAAGAAAAAGGAAAGTGATCAATACACTAGAATTTTAGGGAACAACAATATTTTAAGGACAGAGAAAAGACAAGTAGAAAAGCTTCTAAGGAACATCAGTAATGACAGACTACCAGAGTGCTGGCTGGTGTGGCTCAGTTGGTTGGGCATGGTCCCATGCACCAGGCAGTTGCTGGTTTGATTTCCGGTCAAGGGCACATGCCTGGGTTGCTGGCTCAATCCCTCATAGGGGGGTGTGCAGGAGGCAGCCTATCGATGTTGCACTCTCACATTGATATCTCTCTCTCTCTCTCTCTCTCTCTCTCTCTCTCTCAAAATCAACAAACTATTCTTTAAAAAAAAAAGAGAGACAAAAGAGAAAACCCATGGTAAAATGTCATTTCAAAAATCAAGGAAGATGAAAGATGAAAAAAGGAATAGTGTGCACAGTGCCAAAGGGAGCAGAAAGGCCAAAATTTATAAAAACTACAAGTGTCCACAGAGTTTATCAATGTCTTTGGTACTCTTGCAAGAACCATTTCTGTGGAGAAGTAGGATGCGGACGGGGGTCAGTCACAAAGCAATAGCAATGGATTGAAGGGTAAGAGCTGAGAAAGTAAGGATAGTAACTGTATGCCATTTGGAAAGATTTCCCTGTGAAAGGGGAAGACATAAGAATAGTGTGACATACTATAATTGCAGTGCAAAGTTTTGAAAGTAAAGGGGGACCCTAAACACACAGGAGTAAATTGAGATTATTTTGGGCAACCAAGATGTATGGTCACCCCAGCAAGTAGAAGAGGAGATGAGGCTACAAGAGGATGTTTTCTTGAGGGGATGGGGGAATAGACATATTGAGATTTTTTTTCTATCTATCTATCTATCTATCTATCTATCATCTATCTATCTATCTATCTATCTATCTATCTATCTATCTATCTATCTATGGGGGGTGGGGGGGAAGAAGGCTCAATACCTAGAGGAGCTTAGACCTTAGGACAGGCCTGAATAAGATAAGGATAGAGATGGAAATTACGTAGCCTTATATTTAAATGGAAAAGAAATTCCTAGAGTCATTTGTTGTATAAAAAAAAAAAAAAAAAAAAGGGAAGAAAAGAAAAAAGAAAAAGCTGGTCAAAGTTATTCTTCACATCTTCAAAGTATGTACCTGAAATGGAGAGGTTTTTTAAAGCCTTGATTCCCTTTATGTTACAATGGAAAGAAGTGTAAATTCTGAAATTTATAGACCTATGAAATTGAGTATAAATAAATTTGTTACCAAAAAAGTTGCCTGGCAAATTAATTCTATTTCAAATACACTAGGAGAGCATGATATTAAATAACAACAAATAAGAACCCTAAAGTGACTCCTTTATTAGGCAAGTCATTTAAAATGGTAATAGTCACCCTAGATTTATTCATTTTTCAAGTGAAAGAGAAGCGAAAATGACCTACCTAAAGTCACTGTTCTGGTTAGTGCTGGCTGGTCTCTCCCCTTCCTTTCACTCCCATCTCTACTCTAATCTTCTGGTGGTATTCACTTCTAATCAGCACTTCTGACATCTAATCCACCATGCTTTCCACTTCATCGTGTTGCCTCTTTTCATCAAAATTTAACTGAAGACATATCTAAGCCAAGTCATTAACAGAGGTAAGTATACCATCACCTTCACAAAAACTATATACTACAGTAAAACTTTCCTCAATATTAAGCTATTGTGTTCAGCATATTAAACATTAGTAAGAAAACTACTCAGTGATGAACCACAACTATTTTAAAACTCTGCACAGACGTTATTTATAGTTTATTTCAGCTTATCTGCTCTGCATGTTTTTTATCTCACACCTTAAAGAATGCTAACAGAAAGTAAACATGCTGGAATAGACACCTCCTTTACACACGAATTCCTCAGAAGACTACATGAATTCCTGTAACATATGTTACTGTTAAAATAAGGCTAAATCATTCATTCTCAGTGAAAACAAGGTGGCTTCCAAGGAGCCAAATTTGGTTCTTGGGGAGGGAGGAAAGAGACAAAAAATGTTTTAAGATATTACAATAGGTGTGGCCTCCATAGGGCCACAATACATAAGCAAATACACAGTGTATGTGTGGTATTAGAACTTTGGGGGCTGGAGTAGGGGGGTTTGACAGTAATAGAAAAACTGTCTAAAAAAAGATCATTAGGGGGAGAATAATGTTTTTAAAAAAAGGTTGAGAAAAACTTATCTAAATGCTAGTCTGCATCTCAATGCATTAAAAACGGTCATGTTTAAAGAAAATACCTAAATAATTCACCTTTTTATTCTATTTGGCCAATTCTTCTGTTTCATCAATCATCTTAAAATTGAATTTTATGCACTTTTAGATAAATACCAACCAACTGGTCTCTTCTCTTCCTCTACTCCTATTCCCACTTCATCAGCCATACACTTCCACTCCATCAAGGAGTCTGGAATAATCTCTGACTCATACAGTACACACTTATCACAACTGAAGATTTTAAGTTCATTCACTCAATAACTATTTGTATAGTGCTTACTATGTACCTGGTACTATGTTAGTTTTCCTTCCTGAGACTTATCCATCATTGTTGTCTCACTTAAATGAATACATGCAAGATGATGTAGACTATTCTGAGAACTTAACACCCAAAGCTCCTGCAAGTAGAGAGGGCAGCCAAGTTTCAAAAACTATGCACAGAGAATTAGAGAAAGAGCCACAAGTACTGGAAAACATTCTAAGTTTGGTAAAGGATAAATTATTGAGATAGGACGGGAAGGATAATGGAGGGATAAGTGAGGGAGGAAGAGATAAGCAAAAAGCTTTCCCAACACAACACCAAAATACCAAGGACTGGTCACCATCAGAACCCCAAAACATCAGATTCAATTGGAGAAATATTTTCTGTGGATGGGGAAAGTGATCCGAGTTTTTAAAAAACCTGTAGAAGGATTTTGCTTTAGAGAAATCTGATGTTAACTAGCCACTATTAAATATGTCTCCTGAAAGCAAAGTATACGTCTTATAATACTTTTAACATAACATTTTAATTTTTTGCCCCACAATGCAACATTCATCATTCCCTCTGTAAAACATACTAACCAGCAAAGGATGACAAATGAATGTATCTTTATGTATTTTAAGCTAAAAATGTTACAACATGTAGTTTTTTAATTCTCACTTCACTGGACTTTTTCCATTAATCTGGAAGTCCCCAATGTCAGATAAAACAGCTTATTTTCCTTTTCATATATTTACTGTGCATTTAAAAAAAAAACAATAACTGTGAACATATCAGCAATTTCCAATCATTTCTAGTAAAATACTTTTAATAAAAAATTTAATATCCAGTAACTGAGATATTATGACTGAAATTAATCAAAACATCTATATCTGCATGAGAAACAGAACTACATTTGCATCAGACAATCATTTACTCAGTTTATAGACAATAAAAACTCAATTTTTTGTCGAGGCAAGGACCCAATTCAATAACTTTTCCCCAACTAGGGGTCAAAATATATACAAAATTATAGAAACTGTTTACAGAAAAGTAAAGGAATCATAAACTACATGTAAAAATTGCACTGTAGAAAGTTTTTAAAGTCTTGAAAAAATACACATCATTATTTAAAGTATCTCTCATGGCATTTCTGCTACAAGTCACACATCAAAGCAGGTGCTTAAAAGAAATTTTCCTAAGCAGGTAGGACCGTCAAGTAACAATGTGCTGTTATTGTAGCAATTTTGCTTTTCAATGTAACTCAAACTGGTTTTGTAAACAATGGAAATTCCTCCCAAATTGACAACTTATTAATCACAAATTTTAGTTCATAGTTTACTTTGGCTATTCATGCTTCAGTATCTTCCTAAGTACTACAGGAAGAAACTGGAAGAGATAATGAATATAACAGAACTTCAATTAATTTGTTGAATAAGTGAGTGAATGAATGGCTATTTCAGGGGGTAGCACTTTAATGCTGGAAGCCTATATGTATAGGCTCTATGTACAGTAATTATTTCTCTAAGGAATAATTCTCTAACCTGACAGAAAAATAATCCCATAATTTATATGTTAATCTCAGTTCCAAAGAACTCTCTTATCAACACCAGATAACCTTTAGTCTGTTTATCTTTAGTCATACTAAATTCAATTATACCCAGAATATTAATAAAATCCTAATGATTGTCTTTTACCTTTCAATGACAAGCATAGTCAGCTATTGGGCTGCAGGATTACTATCATTTAATCAAATTAGATGATTTATATGAAATGTTATAAAATAAAGATAAATTATTATCAATGTTCATTAGAGATCCCCAAAATCCATTTATATTGACCTCATAATCTAACATGTATAAAATCATATGCAAAAAGTGAAATTTTACATACAATATTTCAGAGAAGGGGATTAATCACCTGTAACATGAATTCCTGGTGAAATGAAACCAATGCAGGAACAAATTTATATGCCCTTAGAACATAACATATCATATACCATATCTGCTATCATATTTAGTGTTTTTCAGTAACACATACACCTAATTGAATTCTATATCTAACCTATGTGGCTTTAAACTTTCTGACATTAATTCTGTATACCTAAGAACTTAAACTTCAGTGGAACACTGAAAGAATGTTAAAATGAACTGAACTACTGAGAACCAGTATCCAAGTTGTTCAATTTGGTTATACATATTGAAAAATTATTTTTAAACTTCCAGAGAATTTATTTAAAATCCAAAACAAAAGCCTGGCTGCCTGGTGCAGTGGTTGAGCATTGACCTATGAACCAGGAGGTCACGGTTCCATTCTAAATCATGGCACTTGCCCGGCTCGATCCCTAATATGGGGCATACAGGAGGCAGCCAATCAATGATGCTCTCTCATCACTGATGTTTCTATCCTCCCTCTCCCTTCCTCTCTGAAATTGATAAGAATATATTTTTTAAAAATAATAAAATAAAATACCAATGGCATATTTCACAGATCTAAAACAAATACTCCAAAAATTTATATGGAACCAAAAAAGACCCCAAATAGCCACAACAATCTTAAGAAAGAAAAACAAAGTTTAAGGAATCACAATACCAGATACCAAATTATACTATAAAGCTAGTGTAATCAAAAACAGGTTGGTACTGACATAAGAACAGGCATATATCAAAGGAACAGAACAAGGGAACCCAGAAATCAACCCAAGCCATTACACTCAAATATTTGACAACAAATGGTGTTGGGAAAATTGGACAAGTACATACAAGAAAATAAAACTAGGTTACCAATTTATACCACATACAAGAATAAACTAAAAATGTATAAAAAAACTTAATTGTAAGTTGTGAAACCATAAAAATCTTAGAAGAAAACATAGGCAGCCAAAGCTTATATATCCCACGCAGCAGAATTTTCACAGATACATCTCCTAGGACAAGAGCAAGAAAGGAAAAAATAAACAAATGAGACTACATCAAACTAAAAAGATTCTGCACAGCAAAGGAAAGCATACTTAAAATGCAAAGAAAACCTACTGTATTGGAGAACGTATTTGCCAACGATACAACAGATAAAGGGGTTAATTCCCAAAATATATAAAGAACTAATACAACTCCTATGCATTTTTAAAACAAAGTCAAAACAGACTTTATTTTCTAAATAAGGTAAAGGCAGCATATCAAATACCACCTTTTATGTTATCTCTAAAAGAGTCACATTAATGAAGTCTTCGGTTGTATATTTTTTTAAATGTATTTTTATTGATTTCAGAGAGGAAGGAAGAGGGAAAGAGAGATAAAAACATCAATGATGAGAGAGAATCATTGATCAGCTGCCTCTTACACACCCCCTATTGGGGATAGGGCCTGCAACCCAGGCAATGTGCCCTTGAGCGGAATCAAACCCAGGACCCTTCAATCCTCAGGCCTACGTTCTCTTCACTGAGCCAAACCAGCTAGGACGGTTGTAGATTTTTTTTTTTATTTTCTTTTTTATATATTTCTTTATTGACTTCAGAGAGGAAGGGAGAAGGAGAGAGAGATAGAAACATCAATGATGAGAATCATTGATTGGCTGCCTCCTGCACACCCCCCACTGGGGAACGAGCCCGCAACCCAGGCATGTGCCCTTGGCTGGAATCGAACCCGGGACCCTTCAGTCCGCAGGCTGATGCTCCATCCACTGAGCCAAGCCGGCCAGGGCGGTTGTAGATTTTTAAGAGCTCTAACTTTAAGATCAACTTTTGAAAGCCACACACCTGATGCCCAATTTTTTTTATTTCATCCATTTCTATTATTTCCTGTAAGATTTTGGAGAATTCATTCATAAAGGCTCCGTCACTATGAAGGAGTAATCAGGCCAACTAATAAAGGTCAATCCCAGTATAAAACAAAGCCACCTAGATTCATCGTAGGTCTGCATATTGAAGGAGGTAATAAGCAAGGTTAGACAATGGTTAAATTTTAAGAAAAGAATATATACACAATTAAAATTATATAGAAATGTGACTTTAATTTTGAAGATCTAGAATATTTAGTATGTCTAAAATATTTTAAGAAACACAGCAATTGGATTTGCGATTCCTTCCAACAAAAGCTCTCTGCTTGAAAGGAGACTGGGAAGCTTCTACAGCAAGACAGACAATATTGATAATTTTCCTCAAGCTCTCTCTCAGTAACTACTGAGGATCATTAACTATCATCTATTAATGTGTAACTTATAAGTACTCAAATGTTACTTCTTGTAACAAATGAGTACTCAAATGAATACTGTTAGATGTGCTACATTCTGCTTCTGTATCAAGAAATAAAGAAATGAACTTGACTCAAGCAAGTTGCCAGTTTCTCGGAAGTTTCTAATTTCATAGAGGTATATACCCAAGTAAAAATAATTATGAACAAAGAAAGATTCTAATGCATAGTTAAGCTACAGTGGAACATTAGTGTTTGTTTAGTATCTAGTTTCCAGTTTCAAAGTACTATAAATAAGATATGAGACACCAAACAAACCTACGTAATACCAACTGGTACTAGAAGACAACAGGGCTTTTTTCCCTGCTAGCAAACAGTTATTTTATTGTGCATGCTGTTTTCAGAACACTGAACAATCTTTGCTCTAAGCTTTTAAAACTAATATGTAAACATATTAATACATATTTAACTGAAAATTTTGGCAGGAAGAAACTGTAAAATCTCAAAGCATCTTTTATACACAAATAAAACAGAAGAGTGAGGATAAAAACCAGTTCACTAAAAAATTAAATACCTATCTAATCTAGTAATTTCACATTGAATTTATAAAATATTTTAAGATAGTCTGCTCTCCAGATAAGTGCAAAAATGTGTGCTAGTATTTTTAATTTAGTTCTTATCATAACTAGCAAGTTAGAAAAACTGAATTTAGTAAATGCATATAAAATATTTCTAGTCCCTAACACATTATCTCTAATTCTAAAAATTTAACTCCTGAGGACTCCATTACATACTCTTAAGGAAAGCCAGACAATATAGCTGAGATACTAAAATTTTTTACTGCTATAAAGCCAGAGAAGAGATAGTAGTTGCCAGAAGTTAGGGGGGAGGAGAAGGGTCTGATTGCAGAGGGATAGCATGAAGGAATTCTTTGGGCCATTGGAATTGTCCAGTAACGGTGGTAGTGGCTGTAATTATCTTAGCCATGTGTTAGAACTGAAAATAAGTAAATGTTTATGCATGTTCTTATCAGCTTTTACAATAGCCGAAAGGTGCAAACAGCCCAAATGACCATCAATGAGTGGATGAATAAACAAACTGTGATATACACTGAATGGCCAGATTATTATGACCACCCCATCAGTACTTCATTGGGCCACCTTTTGCCTTCAATACTGTGATGATGATTCTTGGCATTGACTCCACCAGATGTTGAAAGGTGATGCGAGGAATCTGACATCATGACTGATGAATAGCACTGTCCTATTCTGTGAGATTTGATGGTTGTGAAACCAGCTGGCTGATGGCTCCTTTACCTTCATCCCACAAATGCTCAATTGGATTGGGATCTGGTGATTGTGGGATCCACCTAAGCAAGGTAAAGTCTCCCTCGTTCCACTCCTGCACAATACGAGCACCGTGGCATGGCGCATTGTCTTGTTGGAAGAAGCCATCTCCATTGGGATACGCCATCAGCATGATAGGATGAACTCGATCAGCAACG